TTGTGATGACCTGGCTGAGGGGGTTCAGGCCTATGCAGAACAGCAGTGGGGATAGTGCATCACCTTGGTATATGCCGCACTTGATGGTGACTTCTGCAATTGGCTTTGAGTTGGCTTCCAGATTTGTTTTCCACAGGCTATTAGTGTCCTGTGATCTTGTACATTTCCAAGCATTCCAGTACCCATGTATGTGGCATTGAGTCGTAGGCTTTCTTGTAGTCAATCCAGGCGGTGCACAGATTGGTCTGCCTGATCTTGCAGTCTCAAGTGACTGCTCACTACTGCTCACCATCAACCAGTAGCTGGTGCTTGGCTCCACTGGTATTACTGCCCATTCCCTTCTTGGCCCTGTCCATATATTGAGCCATGTGCCTGCTCATCTTAACCGCTATGATGCCTGACAGGAGCTTCCATGTTGTGCAGAGGCAGGTTATTGGCCGGTAGTTGGATGGGATTGTTCCCTTCTGGGGATCCTTCATGATCAGGACTGTCCGCCCTTGGGTTAACCATTCTGGGTGGGTCCCATCCATCAGCAGTTGGTTCATTTGTGCTGCCAGGCATTCGCGGAGTGCAGTTAGTTTCTTCAGCCAGTAGGTGTGGATCATGTCAGGGCCTGGTGCTGTCCAGCTCTTCATACCTGCCACTCTTTCTTGGAAGTCTGCCGTTGTAGTGGTTCCTGGATCTTGTTCTGGGAGATTGCTGTGATCTGTTTTTACATTGAGCATTGGTGTTGTGGGATGCCTCTCTCTCCCATATGTTGTTCCAGTACTGTTCAGTAAGTCTTTGTTTGGCAGTCTCCAGAGCCTCAGGTATCGACAGCTTGTTGTATTTCTTAGGTAGCCCCTTCTTTACACCTTTCTGTAGCTCTGAGAGCTGACTAACCTGTTGCGGTGGCAGCCTGGCTGATGGTGAGTGCCATGTGTTCTTTTGTTTCGTCTCACATTTCTGTTTTTTCCCCTGTGTCTCCTCCCCTCTTCCTCTGTGTGTGCTCTCTCCCTCTCCGCCCGGCTGATGATCCGCACCTGTGTCTCTCTGTGTCTGGTGCCACTTCTACGTTCTAGCCTTCTGATACCTTGCTCTCTGATCTCTTGACTCACGAATCGAACCCTGTCTTTTCTTTCTCCCCGCCAGGTCCACTCACCTCCGTCATCCAGTCAGTCAGGTGGGCTCGCCTACCTGCCTTCTCCCCTCGGCTCGCCTCCGCGGCATTCCCCTGGTTTCCCTCCACGCTCCTCACCCCTCTCGCCTCAGCCTCCTGCCCCCTCTCAGTCGCCTCACCTGAACCTTTCCAGCCCCGCCAGCTCCTCGGCCCCCCGCGCCCAAGTCTGCTGGCGTCCAACTTTCCCCTTTTCACCTCTCGTCTCTCCTCTCCCTTTTTTCCCACAATAAACCTCTTTTGCAAACTGACAAGCGTTACATTTGGGTCTGTTCTGTCCAAAACCACAACATAACCTCTCTTTGTGTTGCCTTGATCATGGCCTCTAACCTTCTCCTCCATGGAGGGTAATGCTCTTTGTGGCTTGTGGTGTTCATCTTATAGCCAAGCATCTCTAGGATCACTGGCGTACATCAGCTCACTGGTCTTGGTTATGGCTTTAGTAGGGATAGTATGTAGTGCTGCATTCACATCTTCTAGGAGACTTTCAGAGGGTGCTTTGTCACTTAGCCTTGGCCATCTTGGTCATTGTACTTGGGGGTCCAGCTTAGTTATGATCTTCAATCGTAGGTCAGTCACCCTTATGTTGAGTGATTCTGTGCCGTAAGGGCTTGTTCTTTGCGGATGTTAGAACACTGAGCTAGGAGTTGTTTCTTTGTCAGTGTTGATGATGGGTTTTGAAGCATCCATATATCCCATAGTAACCTCTCTCATCGAGATTGCTTGTATAGTAGCATTGCATCAGATCCATATTTTCTGCTCTAGTCCATGAATGTCTTGTTCCACTATCCCATTTGTCATCAGGTTGCCCTGGTTCCCTAGCACCTGACGCGGACCTTGTTGACCCGGGTGACCTCCGTGCCGGTATGGCTCCTGTATTTGCGATTTCACTCATGCCTGAGCTAGGCTGGTAGCATTAAGGACCATGCCTAAGGACCTTGCCTAAGGTACATATATATACAAATAATAATAATAATAATAATAATAATAATATAAATTACCATTTTCACCTGTGATGCCTCAATTGGAAATTTATGAAAAGTCAAAAGTGAAGCTCTAAAGTAAACCTCCCTTCACTCTCCTGCCCTGTGTGTGTAGCACTGCAGAAATAAACACACTAAACAGTACATTACATTCACAAGCTGTTCTGCACTGTCCTCCTCACAGCCTTTCCTCATGATGGCAAAGTCAACAATCAATTCAGTCATAATTATGGAAGTTATTTTGGCCCCAGAGAGCACTCACAATGTGGAGAGAGAGAGAGAGAGAGAGAGAGAGAGAGAGAGAGAGAGAGAGTGAGAGGAAGTTTACCCATCCTGTCATTTTAATTAGATCCAGATTTACCTTTCACAATCTTAAAAAGCCCCACTGAGGATGGCAGAAGTTCATTTGGCTTTGGGTTCTGTTTCTGAGCCTCTGCCACAGTTTGCTAACAGACAGGATGTTGGCTGAACAGGATTTTTAATTTTTATTTCCGACTTTAGCATTTTATGCTTGTGAGCTAGCAGGTGCTGATGTGGATTCCAAACACACAGTGTGCTCCTATATGCTAGATGCATTTGTTTATTACGTTGTGAATTTTAGTGATTGATTTTATGTCTAATTAACAGCCTTCCTTGTGCTTTTAGTATCATAGCTGGCAAAAGAATTGAATGAGAGTTACTTTCTTATTAATATGGTTACAGACAGAATTTATTTATATTATGCTTATCTTCACCAGTTTATGAATTGAATGTCTTCTTGTCAACAGAAAACAGTGCAGGCCTATAAAACATAAGTCTTAAAGTGAGACTCCATTAAAAAAAGGTTAATAATGCTTAATAAAACTTATTGCAGCTGTCAGCAAAACTCTTTCTGATTTAGAAAGAAAGAAAGTAAGAAAGCAATTTCCTCTCTATGACCCACAACTCTTATTAAATAAATAAAATATTCTTGAAATAAAATTATTACCCAGAAACATAATTATCTACACTGAAACACCCCAGTGGCGATGCTTTTTTCAAATGTCTCTACCATTAAGAGCCACAATTTGTGTTTGTTCTGTTATTTGAACCTTTTAAATTGGTCAAACAGAGGACAGAAGTTGAAAAGGTGGGGTTAAACTGGTATAAGTCAATTTACTTTTTGAACTTAAGTATCCTATATATTAATGGTTCAAATTATAGGAATAGTAATTCTGGTTGTGGCCACTACATTAAGCATAACCATCCAACACTGTTTAAGGATTGATCTTCATAGATTATTGGCAGTGACATCCAGTCTTCAGGCTAAGCTAAGCTTTCTGGCTTTGGCTTCAGCAATATTCTTGGCAAAAAAGTGAATGTGTTCCCAAAATACTAAACTGTTCCTTTAACAAATGAACCCTTCTCCATCCCGTGCACAACATCATCCGGTAACAAAGATGTACTGGAATATTAAGTGTGCGACTTCTGTTGTGCCAAACTACACAATGCATAAACAAGAAGCGCCAGGTTGTCCAATGAACAGCAATGAATATTTGGAGAATATATTACAAACATCAACAGAACAGAAAACAGACCTATAGAGGACTACCTGTCAGCTGTGTTTACTCAACCTGTTCTTTCTGTGAATACAAATCTAATGTTCCAAAATCTTGCCTCAAATAACAAACTTTGATTTACAAAGGTAGTTCCACTACAAATGCATACAGAGACGCTCATTTTTGCTCATACACAAACACACACACGCATGCCACTTCAATTAGATTCTATTGGATTTTATTAAATCTACCTTGAGCTTTCACTTCACAGCAGCATCCATCAGAGGATTATTATTTATCTTGCTGTCAAGGACTGGCAGCTCGTGGAATCCCACAGAGACTAAGAGGAAATTTGTGTGTGTGCGTGTCTGTGTGTGTGTGAGTTTGATAAAGTCTACATGTATAGAAACACTCCTGTGTGCTGATGTATGCATGTTAGGTATGTGTGTGGTGAACTCTATTGTGTTAAAGTTTAAAGCAAATGCGTGGCCCCGAATGGGAAATCATATTTGTCTAATTGCAGGCATTAGCACAGTATATTAGATCCATGCATAAAAATGCAAATGTTTTCATTCAGCACTAATTGCTGATCTTAGAAGGGCTTATCTTTGATGTATTATAGAATAGAAAAAGAGAAATACATTAACAATAATTGTCGAATAAGAATACTGTAATTATATCACTTAACACGTATTGTTTGCCCTTAGTGTCTCATCCGTGACCAGTGCTAGACAGCTGACCTCATCCGCACAGGCAAATGTTGAATTTATTGAATGTGCACATAAATGCAATATAGCACAGATGTTGTTGTCAGATGCATTTTAATGTTATTGATAATTTCAATGCTTTAAGGTGTGATGTTAAAAAAACAGTAAAATACTCATTAATGTTGGTCAGTTCCCCAGAGTCACTATATAAAACGCCCTTCTGTTCGAAAAACTGAATTTTGAAGACAGAAATCTCAGCAGTGTACAATATTTCTGTGTGTGAGAAAATATAAATACATTTAAAGATAACTGATGGAAGAAGTATTTAGATCCTAAGTGAAAATACCAATAGCTCAATGTAAAAATACTCCATTACTAGTAAAAATCCTACTTAAGTAAAGGTATGTAAGTATTAGCCAAATGGATTTAAAGTATAGTATAAGTTGAGCTACTTTGAACTACTTTATATACAGTTTAGTAGTTCAACCGTAGTCAACCTACGGGATGGGCCAATGTAACTGGTCACAAGATAAAGCTGAGATCATATTTTAGACTTTTTTTGCTTAATATTGCATAATTGATCCTCTTTGTGTTTTAACGACTAGGTGACTGGACTCAAAAGCAGACTCAGAGCACGTTCTATTCCAGGAATATACAGTTTATTGAAAGGTTGGTGGAGCAGAGCAGAGAGCAAGCCAGGGAGTGAAGATCAACGAGGGAATTTCCAGGCAGGCAGTGAGATGGGCGTGGCAGTCTGCAGAATCTCCAGGCAGGCAGTGATCCTGAGCACAGGGAGGATAAGATAAATTAGGATCACACAGAAAATACAATTTAGAAAGTTCTCTAAACACGAGAATTAGCCACAGCGCAAATACCACTGTGGGAAGCTGATGATCTGGCGAAGAGTGAGATGAAGACTGGGTTGATATACTACAGAGTCTTGATGAGTGGAATGCGGATCAGGTGTGCAGGTGGAGGTGGAGAGCCAGGGCCGGAAAGGAAAGCCACGTCCAGATAGGCACAGACAGGGAGACTAACAGGAGACACTGGGAGGGAGAACATAGACACAAGGGGTAGGGAGGAGAACAGTAGACTCATAACATTTTGGGCCTCAGACAGCTTTTTAAATGAAACCATCTGAGCCATTGGTGGAACTGCTGAAATCTCAGAGACATCTGAAATATGACAAGGGGGTCTGTAAGATGTTTTCTTTAACAATGCATTCCATTTTATAAGCTTATTGTGTGCTTTTATTTCAAAGCTGAATCAGAAAAGTAACACCTTACTTATTCACTACTACAAGGGGAACAATATGCAGAGATGGTATTCGCCGTCCTCTCCCTACATAATATATCTATAATTACAGAAAATTATAGTCATCCTGTGTAACATTTCACTCTACTGTGAGGCATCAAATAATGTGGCACTATGGCCCTAGCATTGAAAAGGAAGTGGTTAAACTAAGGATTAAAGCACTAAACAAGGTGGGAACTTCAGTGACCAATACAACTGAGGAAAATAGCAAGAAAAAGAAAAAGCTGAGTAATTGAAGTCACTTTTTCGTTCAATTGTGCTCCCCCAGGAAATCTTAAAGGTATTTCAGGCTGAAAAGTGTAATTTGCTTTAAACTGCTGGAAGTCGCTGTTGAATTTGTGTGTATTGTATGGGTGGTATTTGATTCCAGTTCCTGAGGTTTGACGAGTTTTTACCTATGAAGATGGGCTCTTAGAGCACCTTTTCCTCACCAACTTGTCAATAAAGAATGAGATGAGTGGTTTGAAGACAGAATACTTACTGCAAAGATGTTTTTCATGATGGGAATCCTGAAATGCTGCAGCTCATCCTGTAGCCTTTCTATATCTGGCTTTATTGTGAAAACCTTTAAATATGTACTAATTGGGATCTCCTGTACTCTCCTCAGGGATCCCTGGCAGGCATCAAATTTGACATTGAGTGCTACTTCCCCTAATGTCTCCGCCTCCAGTACAGCGCTGATAAACAAGATCTGCTGGAGCAAATGAGCTGAATCCATCAACCTATCATTACCTAAGGTTAACTGCTGGAACATTATACACCAGGGCCCCTTTCCTTTCAATCAATTCCCTACATATAGATCGCCACAAACCCCTCTGGGCACAACACCAGGCCAGTGTGCACTCTGTGACAGTGACACCTATACATGCACACAGGCGCCTAAACACACAAACACAAAGTAAAGGAATAACACAGGCCAGACTTAAAGGAACAAAAGTAAACATACTGTACTTCTGGTCATAAACAGTCTGCTGCTTTTGTTTCCCTGGGGTTGCCACAGGTCAGAAAGTAGTTTATTAGGGTGGTGCCCTCCTTGTACGTGGTGTGTATGTGAGTGCCTTCAATACAGCTTGTCATAATGTAGCAGATAAAGTGCTGATATGGCTGTGGCTGACACTATTATACACCACCACTAGGGATAAGGATATGGATGGAGAGGAAGAGAAAGCAGGAGGAGGAAATGGGTGGGTGGATGGATGGATGAATGGACTAGAGTGTGTATATATAAGCAATTTGGTATGGCAACTTTAGATGAACCTATAATTTGTCAGAGACTGAGTATGAGAAAGGGCAATATGGATGGAAAGTGGTGGATTTGCTGGCAGCAGTCTCTTACTCAGCAGCAGAGCCACAACATATGATGAAAAATGCTGCTGTTTGTGCGTGTATGTGTGTTTGTGTGTGTGTGTACAGCAACAACCTGCCATGAACAAAAAGCTCACAGAGAGGCAAGCCTGACACCTAGAGGTTGGTTATATGTAATGATTTCTCCCTGCACTGCCAAATAAGACCAGCTTTCCCTTCTACTCTATGTGAATGTGTGATGCAAAATAAGCTCTTCCATACTATATGTTCAATTATTTGTCAGTGATTTTCAATTTGGGAACAGGTGGCAAACAGATAATGTACAACAATGGTTCCTAAACTTGGCTCCCGATCCTCTGTCCCTAAAACATTTTGAGGGATTTTAAAAAGTTTCGATAACACAAATTGAATCACCTCTTAGTAAAATACTCACATCACATCACGAGGCTTCTAAAAATCCTTCAAATGAAAGAGTGAGCAGGAAAAATTACTTACATTTGACTGAACTGCTGATAAGTCTTCAAGGGCCAAAAAGTCATAAGCTACTGATGTAGGGAGAACATTGACTCAAAAGGATCCATAACTATGACCTCGAAGGCATGGTTTTGATTTTCAGGGTAGAAGTGGGCTTCTGAAAATTTGGTTTAGGCATTTAAAGTTCTTACATCCAGGTGACATATGTCTGTTGTTTCAGCATAATTTCAGTGACAATTATTAACTTTCTTTAGTTTGGACATACTTCAAATTTAAAACTATGCTAAATATGTATAAAATGAAAGGTGTTGTAGGCATGCAGTAACACACTCATAAAGAATTCTCACCAGACCCTGCAGATGCCCTCTAACATTTTAGCCTTCACCTTATTTGGGTTGGTATTATGACCAGCAACTTTAATGATTTTATTTAGTCTTACTGCTTTCATCAGCATCTTTTCCAACCGCAGCAGCGAAAAAGCTCAAAAACAAAACAAACAGGAGATGGACAAAGTGAGTAACTAGCTGGTGAACATAGTGAAGTTTAAATAAGAAGAATTATAATATATAAAGTAAAAACTAATTAAATGTATATGCAGCTCAAAGTGCTTTACAACAAAGAAATGGCATGCACATGTGCTTTACATAAAAACATCAAACAAGAATGAACATAAAATGGATTGAATTCCATAATTAATGTCAAATAAGATGGAGAATAAAACTCATGATAATAATAGTAAGAATAAAGTTTTAAAAATAGAATGCATAAAATAAAGTAAAATACAGCATTTTAAAAGAAATGCAGCAAAGCATAAGTACAAGGCAAAGTGCATTTTTAGCTTTCTTTTAAAAATACAAGCTGGCTTCCATGATATCTAAAGGTAATGAGCTCCATAGATTTGGGTTGTAATGGATAAAGGCTCCATCCCCGATTTTCCTTCTGGTGTTTCAGGAACTTCCAGTTAACAACAGATGATCACAGTGTTCTTGAAGGCAAATAGTTAAGAAGGGAGATAGCAATATATCTTGGTCCTTGCCCATTAAGGGCTTTGTATATAAGTAAGTTTTACAACAGCTGTTTTAAAGGGAAGATGTCTGTTTGAAGAGATGTATTTATAATCTTCAGGACATGACTTGAAACACTATTGAACACCAGCTTAAAAATGCTGGGTCAAAACACGAGTTGGAAGTCACTCAGTAACGGTCTTGCAAAGCTTAGTTAATTTAATACAGCAGTTTGCTGGGGTCATCTGTGTTTATATCAGCAGCAATACTGGCTCTAACTGAAGTTATTTGTTATTGAAGAACAATGCAAGCTCTTCACAATTTAATGCAGAGGAGCAAAGATGGGTGGGGGCAGTGTTAAGTAGCTGGTTAGTGGAGAAGAATATTCTAGTTTCCCTCCAGCATTCTCTGTAATAATCTTGGAAACTGTGAGCCTAGTTTTTCCACATTTTCTTTCAGCTGCTCAACATATTCTCTTAATCTCATTTACACTGTGTGGCGAAACACTATTTAAAGCAAGGTATTGTTTAAATGACTCAAATTATTTCTTTATATTAGAGACCTTTGAAACCAGAAATTCCCTTTTAGTCTTTGTTAAGATTGAGTTGGCATCAAACAACATACAGTGCTAGTGAGAAATGTAATTCTAATATTGAAACATTGTCAATGTTTAACCCTGTTGTTATCACTAAATCTAATATGTCGCCATGCTGACGAATGGCTTCATTTACAATAAATTTGCAAGCTCCATAGCTTTGGAAACATTTTTTTTTCTTGATATGGATATTCAAGTCTCCATCCAGGATTAATCTACCATATGTAGTGATGCCAAGCGAGATCAGCTTTGATAATTCCTGCAGAAACAGCAATGATCTTGGTGGCCGATATAATGTAATGATGAGCACAGATAGTTCTGCTTTGAGCTCAAGAGCAAGATATTCAAATTATGTAAATCCACCCAGGTCAATCTCATTACATACAATCTGTGTAGAAAAAATGACTGCAATCTCTCCTCTTTTTCTGTTTTGTCTGACTGATAAAAAGTTTAGAGGACAAGACTCTATCAGTGTTGCTACACCAGTAGTGCTGTTTAGCCAAGTCTCACCTCAAAAATAGTTAATGTGATGTTGGATCCCTGATTGGGACAGAGACATGCTCTGAATGCCTTGGGTGATGTGGAGCAGAAGGTCAGGTTAGGGGGGAGATAAACAGGCTGTGTGCGCTTTCCTTTCCCTTCGAGCTTGCCCTCGTGTTTTGGTACGATATCTGAAGAGCATGACAAAGGTTGGCACAGAGCAGTCTGGAACCAGTGATGCTTGGATGAATCCCATCAGGTTAAAAGTGGACTTTACGGTTCCAAAAGACAGTGAAAATGTCAATAAACCTTATCCCATGGGTGAGGCACGTCAATGTCAGCATTGTATTCAGGGGCCTGAAATTAATACATTTTGCAACTGACAGTTGCTCAGTTTCTCCAGCAGCAGGCAAACGTATAATTAAACGTATTTTTTCAGGATTTGAGCCAGTCTCCCTTTACAGAATGTCAAAAGAACCAGTGTGAATAATAATGTTACTTAGATTTTCAATCTTCCTTCATGCTTGGTTACAGTGTTCCCAATCAGAATAGAGTCTGGCCTCAGGTGTGGAGTTAGCAATATTTCTGCAAGCCCTCTGTCTAGCAGTGGTTTGGGAGATATTTCTTAGCTTTTGGTTAGCCTTAGTGCTAGTAGTGTGATAAGCTTCCCTGGGTTCACAAATTTGTATTATCACTTTGTATTATCAGTCAGAGGGTCATACCTGTTTTGCAATGAGTTTGGGTGGTGGAGAAAGCGTTGATGCTCTCTTATTTGATTTCTTGCTGGATTTGAATAAAGTTGCGATAGACAAAGGCAGACCAAGGGTGTGTTCCATAACCATACTATTTAGCCAGAAAAAAAGATTTGATGCCCCAATACATAGTATGCCAACCGCAATATGCAAAAATTCCAGGATGCCCTACTGCATCCGGTTGCATTTTGCAGTATGCAAGGCTACATGCTTTTCTGGCTAGTCTTGTTCACAATCGAAGAGGGTCAAAGTTCAGTGCACAATATTATGATGAAGTAGTATTTCCCAATTAAACTCTTACTGCAAGAAACCGTACATACTTTGTAAGGGCAGCTTTAGTGCATACTAAAAGTACAAAGAAAAAAATGTGATTTAAAACGCAGCACAAGTCCTGGCTGGGGTCTGATTAGATTGGGAAAACTTTAATTATGTAAGCATTGGGGCTTCCTGGACCCCTCTCAGGAATCACTTTCAACCTGCAAATCACTGAAATATCTACTAAATTTTCCTTTTCCAACACATTGAGTCCCTGCAGCAACTCACCTGCTGTTCTGCAGCTTAGCCCCAGAGACTTTTAGGGGGAAGTCAATCAAGTTACCCAACTGTCTCTGTGTTGTGTGAAACCTGCAATGACCAGTAAGAACTACGTGGATGGATTGGCACCCATGTGGTTCAACACTCATACAGGGAGAGACAAGCCTTTATGGAACTGAAGATTCAAGTTTAAAGTATATAAAAAAAATCAGTAATAATACAACATCAGCATGATTTAATGTAATCACATCATTTTTTAATCAATTTAGCTCAAACAGTTTTTCTCAGGAGTCTGTTACAACAGGTTCCAACAAACATCAGATGTGAAAGGATGACATATTGAATTTTAATCAGTCCGGGCAAGGTGGCCCTAAACTACAAAAGACAAAATCTGGGCTGAAAGTTGTATTTCAAAACAGCTTGTACAGTCATTACCAAAAGGCCTCACCCAACACATACACACTTTAACATAGTTATACGCATGACTGCACACACATACACACAAATTAGTCCAATATTTGGACATTACACAGTATAAACGCTGTTATTGTAACAATTGAACTGCAAATACACTCATACAGTACACTTGCACTTTGGATGACATGCAGATCTTCAAACGTTTCTTGGATGCAGAGCTGCTTTGTTGTTGGTTGAGTTAACCTCTGCGAGTGAAGCCTAACAACAAGCGTTTCAAGTTCCAAAACATACAATTTTGGTATCTGGCACATTTGGCGATCAAAGAAGTCGGAGGTGGCATTTATATAATTTTTGTAACAATTTATAATTTTGAAGTGTAAGCTTTTAAACTTCAAGATGAACAGCTTAGTATGGGGTACGCTGACGTTAGTAGCAAGAGCATCAGACTCACAATGGCTACCTTCACTCATATCGTTAGTTATTAGCATTTAGGATCCGTCAAAGCAAAAAAACAAATGATGTCCCTTTACTTCAATGACACCTTTGAGGCTGACCCAGGTTTTCCATAGATATATATCACAAATGCCAGCTTACCCACGTAAACACTGCTTTGGCATAGAGTACCCCAGTACTTTTTGAGTAGCGGCCAAACTGTGTCCGTAGCACCATGTGTCAAAAGTTGGCATAAAACGACTCATTTGAGAAATTTGGCTTGTTTTGTGAAACAGAATAAAAGAAATGTGTTTAGATTCCTCTAAGGCAGGCATGGAAAAAAATGTAGTGTTAGTAGTGTCTAACTCTGGTATCATATTGGCACCACTGTAAAACATTTTCAGTGCCAGAGAACCAGTGCCTGTTTGGTTCTACCATGAGTTTTAACTCAACCAATGAGGGGAGTTTATCTACCTCCAAAAGCAGCACTGCCAGTTTCTACAAAACACCAATCTGCCCTAGAATGGGATTTCAAGGTAACACGATAACACTGCTAGTTTACTACCAAATAAATAGCTTGAAAATAAGGGTTTTTTGAGAGGGGAGGTTACCACAAAATTACACCCTTCTGAATTACATGTCAGCTAAGTAGGCAATCCTGAGTCACCCATTAGCCTGGTACTTTTAAAGCTCTTTTTAAAGGACGTCCTGACCTGTTATTACTCTACGCTTCAATGACATTTTAAAACTTTGTTCTTCTGCGAGTTACTGTGTTACAGCCACTCCTCACATTTTCCTTTATTTTTGCCCTGTCTTCCTTCCCTTGTAACAAAAATATATCAAATGCGTATCGCATTGAATATAAATAAATATTAAACAACTAATATATTCTGAATTTGAACAAAATCTGTGTGAACTATGTAGCAACTTTACTAACTTTTCGAGACTTGAGAACATGAAAAAACAAAATAAAAAAAAACATGTAAATTATCTCCAACAGTAAACAAAAATGTCAAACATATTACTTTGGTGTCGCTGGTAGTGCTTCAGTATTACTAACTGCAAGTTTATATGGAGTCTGGCACTGACGTTAGACTTGTAGCATTATCTCCACTGTGTAAACAAATGTGTGTCATGTACTACTTGTCCATGAAGCTCGGAGTGTTGGCAGAAGACCTGAGGGGGGTTGGAAAACTTGTACCAGGGTGGTTTAAATCCAACAATGACACCTGGTACAAGCTATTCTTGATATAGGCATTGGGTCTGTGGCAAATTCAACTCAAATATATATAAATGTATAAATGTGACCACCTAAATCTTCCTATCCACCCGTTTTTAACAACCTATGTTTCACAAAAAAAAAAAAGAGAGAGAAAGCAGTGCGTCAAAAGAGAGTGAAGATATAGGTCCACACCACAACAACATGAATAAATTCATTAAACTTCTCAAAAAAAAAAAGAAAGAGAGACAACAAAGAGACACTCAGATAATGAATGGATGACAGACTGAAGCTCAGATAAAAAAGCAGACTGAAAATAACACAAAGAAAAAACACACGAGTGTTAGAGGATACATATCAAATGCATTAATGGAAAACGGCTACCATCCTGAGTGAAGTAGGCACATTCAGAAGCTTTCATAAAGGCTGCTCATAGCAAAAGTTCAGTTATTCAGAATGAGCCAAAAAGCTTAGCAATATACCTTCAAAGGCCTCACTGAGCAGGTGGTTTTATGTACATATACAAGAGATTTTTAATGGAAGATGGAAAGAGGTGAAGAGAAAAAGAAAATAAAGAGGAGGTTGAGCCATCTCCAGATGGCAACTCTTGTTTCATCTCTCATAGAAAGCAGTTAGTTTAGACTGCCTGTGGGATACACCCGGGCCGACCGAGCAAAGAGCTGAGACAGTCCACTAACAAGGTTGGTGACTTAGAGACGGGCAACGACAGCTTTTTGAGTGGGGAGCTTTCCTCCTAGACAAAGATACAAATTTTAGATTTGTTTTAAAGGCCTGGAGATTGAACCAAAACACTATTTATTCCTGCTGGGTGTCCATCTGACAGCTTGTTTCTTACCTAGAGTGTCTTCCAATGAGTTCACAATCACCTTGTTGACCTTTAAAGTCCCCAGCTCCACTCTGAAGTGAAAACATCATTGCATGGTTATTTTATGAAAGTAAGTTGGAGTTCCGGTGAAATATTTCAACAGTGCTTTCTGTGGATTATGCAGAGTTTATAAAAAAAGATTTTGTTGAAATAAATGCTGTTGTTGATTTCTGTAATTTTTCATCACCACAGATGTATTTGGATGGAGGCAGTAAATAAAACCCCAACCTTAATTGCTAGATACCAAGAAAGGTAAGTGAGAGAAAATGTAGTATTTTGTAATTTGGGTGAATCAACTCTAGGTTTAGTGTTGTTATGCTTAGCACAAAGTTAATTCCTTTTTTGGGGGGGGGTTGTCCTTATATGCATCAATGGTCTAAGGATAGAGAGAGTATTTGACTCGACAAATGAACTGAAGGGCTGCAGCTACAACTCACTTTTCCTGAGCAATGAATGCAACAATTGTTTTACAGCTGTATTACGTAACAAAATTTGGCTTCCCAAAGTGCAGCAACAACCATCATGGTTTACTGAATGTGACCACTACGACCATACAGATAAAATCTTTGATTAATTAACACTAATCTTTTTCAACATACCTACTTTACATACCATATGTACATATTTATATTATTTAGGGGTTCTGGTAGTTATAGTTAACTAACCTGTTAAAGTTAGGGTAGATAATGTAGAAGAAACCAGCAAGAGACAGCTACATTTTAAAAGTATCAAACTGAAAAAATTCCCACCGCCTCCTTTCAAAGCCACTCCCCCAAAACACATTTTCAAGCGCAGTGAGTGCAAGGGTAGGTAGGCAGGTAACCTTTAACGGTTATTGAAATGTTTTCTCTTTAGCTTGTGTTTGAGGTTATTTCAGTTATGTTTGGCTGTTGTTTCAGCCTTCACACACAGATGATCAAAACCAACTTACCCTTTGATTTTCCGTACAGCGCCGAGTCTTAGCAAAGCTGCAAGAGCGTTCTTCTGGAGGTCAGACGACAACACCTCGGTATATCTTAGTCTACCTAGATTACACACATATACAACACACAGTACATTTAGCAGAGGCCTGAGGTAAAAACACAAGCAGAAATCATTTGACAAATGAGAAACCTTTCAAGACAGAAACCTGCTAGAAGATGTTTGATGATGAACTTGCGAACAGCAGGAATAAAATGTTTTTCTGTCAGAGTCTCAGTGGCCTCCTCACACAGGAACCGGAACAACACCTGAGATCACACACACACACACACACACACACACACACAGCTATTATGATTAATAATCAGTACCCTCTAGAGCAGCAATCTGTGAAAAATGTTTGCATGTACTTTAATTGGTGTTCATGCTAAAGATATAAATATACTGAGTTTTGATACATGCAGATTCATGATGTACTACTTTTCTGAATAAATTAAAGACATGCAGTGCCATCACAAGGTGAGAATACGACTAGGCTGTTAGATTTACAGATCATTTACATTTAAGCTTTTTAACTTTTACAAAAGACTGGAAGATATCCCATCGACTCAGTGAAACTTTGTCAATATTTGATGCAAATTAGAAACAGCAAATGCTGGTCTGTAACAAAATATGAAATAAGGAACTTTATAAAACTCATTATATAGCAATATTTCAACTCTACCGGGAATAAATCAGGCCTAATAAAATGTTAAAACTAAGTTTCAATCCAATGTCCATACATTTTTTTTTTAATATCCACACAACTACCCTTCTTTATATACACACACAAACAACACGACACAACCAACATTTACAAAGCTACTGTGTGTCTCCCTCACCTGGTATCCTTGTAAAAAGGGATCTAGCATGCTGGTGAGGAAGGCCAGTGTTCTGTGTCCTTTTTCTGTTACCAGAATCTCCTGCTGGGTTACCTGCAGAGCTCCAGTCTTCACCAGCAGGTAACAGGCCTCCTCAAAGTCCTACACAACATGAGTACTGAATGTTTGAATGACCATAGAACAGTATATTTACTACAGGGTAATATATAGTGCATAAATGTTGTTTCTCACCTGCACTGTAGCTCCAGGACAAAGGATGAACTCATTGGAGAACACGTTTCTTAGAAAGCTGAAACTGTTGAAGACCTCCTCTGGAAGAAAAAATAATCATTAACAAGCAGGAAACACCTGTGTAATAGGTGGATTGTTAGTGTAAAAAAGGGTGAGCTCAGCCAGTGTTGAATTCTTTGACACAAAAATCTACTGCATGTATCGAGTTCCTGTGCCTTTGTGTTTCACACACTTACACATGAAAACCATCTATTATGCAGTGGCTATGAAAGGAATTCATCTAATTGTCTATGAAAAAATGTTTTATCAAGTACTAAGTTACGTTAGTAACTTGTTAATTGTAAATTGTTAAACATAATGAGAACAGGAAGAGGGTGACACATTTAAACAGGTAAACAGAAATGTCAGTCTTACGCTTGTTGTTAGAGGAGGCAGTGTGGATGGCTGATGCCAGCAGAGCAGGTCTGAGAAAGACATGCAGTGCCTGGTTTCTGTAGGAGGCACAGGAGAGTATGATCACCGCCTGGCTCAGGAGCTCCTCTTCTGGAGTGATGATGCTGTGAGCCCCCCCTGGCCCCACTTGTCCTCCTGCTTCAAAACAAAGCTTAAAGTTAGAAGACGGCAAAACAGTTCCTTTTTATCATTTCCTGCAACCTTTACTCTAACCTATGTGCTATTCATAAGCAGTATATAATAATTTAATAAATGGTTTATAAGACATTACATGTAATTGTAAGCAGACATATGTGTTAATAACGCTTTTTAGGACACTTTCTTAGCACAGCTAAACTACTTACAATCACAAGAAATGTGTATTGAAAATACTGGACTGTACGCTGCTCTATGTGTATGTACTCTGTAACTTTGTAGAGTTGCCCCAATGTTACATGGAATAAAAATGGAAAACTGAAATCTAAGCATGAAACACAAACAAACCTTGGTCCACTGCCAGCTGGACTCTTCCCTCACAGATCCTCACTAGACTTCCATGCAGGGAAAGACTGGAGGAAACCACCTCTGATGGAGGCAGGTGGTCTGAAGGAGAGAAAGAAAAATCCAAATAAACATAACTTGTTGAGGAAGAGAAGAAGAAAAGGGATGATGATATGTTCACTGGATCTCCCATCAAAGAAGAATGTCAGCTGTATGTAAAACAAAAGGCACTCTAGCTGATCAATGTGCAAATCTGTGCAGTGAGCTGCTTCTGATCTAAATCTGAAAACACCACCTATGCCATGTCTCCATATTTAGGGCCTGTGGATTTAAGTTTAAGCTTCTATCCTTTTTGGTTCTAATTTATTGTTTTTCCAAGAAATAAATTAGTAATTTTATTTATTTATTTATTTAACAAAATGACATGTAATTTAGTCTATTGTCCTGGTTTATATACCAAGTTCACTGTTCCAGTAATTGTTGGCATAAAGGTAAGCGTTTGTGTTTCAGTTTATAATAATTATTCATATTAATTTAATTTCTTGTGGAATGTACTGTAACCATTTGCTTTGTTAAATGTCTTACCTCAGTACATCAATCCTACAAGCCTCTTTGATAGTCAAATTTCAAATTATTTGTGTATTGTTTGTATATCTAGAATCTAGGTTAGAGACGCGAGCTTGTGACCGGAAGGTCGCCTGTTCGATCCCCTGAGGTGCCCTTGAGCAAGGCACATAACCCCAACAGATGCTTAGTGGCACACCAGGCTGCGGTTGTACTGGGCAGCTTCCAGGTGTGAATGTGTAACAGTGTGAATGTGATCAGGGCCTTCCTGCAAAAGAGAGGCTTCCTCTCAGTGAAGCTCCCCTGAATAAATAAGGGTTTAAAAATAAAAATAAATAAAATAAAATAAAAAAAACCATTTTAAAACCTCTTGTTAGTCTGCCCACACACAGCAGCAGTGTGACTGTACTGGGCTCATACTGTACCAGGCCAGTCGAGGAAGGCTCCGTACTGCCGGGAAAGGTCCCTGAGCCACACAGCTTGTGCAGTCAGCTCGTCCAGCGTTATCCCCTGTTTCTGCTCCACCACCTGGTTCTGCTGGTGGTTCTGGAGAAGCAGGGAGGCCAGAAGGACCCACGGCTTCAGGACCATGTTCTCCTCCTGGGCCCGCACCAGCTTGTAGGCAGAGTCATTCACAAAGCTGTTGATGTCCTTTCCGGGCCTGCTGGGGATGTGTCTGGACATGGAAAGCTCAGTTAGTACATGTTTTTGAATTTTCAAACGCATCATTTTATTGCTACTACATGGTGCACTGTGTATTCTACTGAGCGTTACATGCTGTGTTAACAACACAGTACAAAATGAGATGTTTTAGTCGATAGATCATACCTTGGAGTCAGGTTGAACTGGCAGCGGTTAACTTTGCCCTCTGCTAAACTCCTAACAGACACAGGTTGCCCAAAGTACACATGAATACTGCCATAGTCTTCACTGAGAATCTTTCTGGCTTTAAACAGACCCTATAAAAGGAGAGATGAACACAAGAGGGAGATGTAGTGACGTGCAATCCAAATTAAGGTTTAAAGACTCAGAGCAGAGAGCCACATGCTGCAAAACTGGACTTGTGATATCAAGATTTTTACATGTTTTGCTTAACCTTAACTATCAATTATTATGTTTCCATTTTCCATTCATAATTAATAAACAAGTCTGTTTTAAGGACTCACTGAAGTGGACTCCTTGGGTTTGGGTACACCCAGCAGCTCTCTGGCATAAAGCGTCTCCTCCAAGATCCTCTCATAACTAATACTGACTGGGACCAGGCTAACATCAAACACCTCCCCTTTAAGGAATGGATCCATGACTATATTTAACAGACCTGGATGAGGACAGAAAGACAAGAACTTTTTAGAATAAAATGGGTCACATCAGTGAAAGTAAGGTGCACCACAGGAAATTGGGAACATTTTCAGAACCATGTTCAAGTATAATAACAAATATGACTTTGCTAATTAGTAATACTTGCTGGGACTCACTTAGTGTACAATACTTTCTGTAATGTACTGGCAGGAGAAATAGAAAGACAAAACACAGGATCTGATCTGGGTCTCAAACATCTGACCACAGAGGACTGGCAGGTGACCTGTGGATTTCTCGTAACTTACCTAACTTTGGAGTCAAAGATTTGGACGTTCGGCTTCTGGTACCCTCTAGGAAAAATTCTACTGGTGCAAATCCATTCTGAAGTGACAAACAAAGATGCAAAAATCAAAAAAAGTCTCTCTTCTACATCTAAAAGATACAGAAACAATGATATCACATAAGTTGTATTGGCTGTGATCATTCTTTTACATTGGGCGCTGTGAACCAATTAAAAAGGGCATTCAGAAACTTTAAATGACCGCAACAAATGTCAGCTGCCTCACCTTGAGCATGGTCTTGACGTACTCTGAGAAGACAGCCCAGTACAGTTTGTCTCCGCCAAATGACCTCCGAATGAAGAAAGCTCCAGACATCCGCAACATCTCCCCAACAAATTTCATCCCCATAAAGTCTGCAGGGACATATGAACAGTAAGTCTGTGTTTCACTTCTGAAAAGTGTTTCTAATATTCTGCCCCCAGCTTGACTGTATTAGAAAATACACTATATGGACAAAAGTACTGTCCTAATTGTTGTGCAAGGGGCTGTTCATTCAGCCCATCCTTTTCAATTTGACAATGTCCCCATGCACAAAGCCATCTACATAAAGAAATGGTTTTCCCAGTTTGGTGAGGAAGAACTTGACTGGCCCCAAAGAGCCCTGACCTCAACCCTATGGAACACCTTTGGGATGAACTAGAACAGAGATTGCAATTCAGGCCCTCTCGTCCAACATCAATGCAATTACTTAACAAATCTGAGGTAGAATATTTAAAATAATTACAATGATCACGAGTAAAAATAAGTAAAATCTTTTTTTCCAGCCCTTTTCCTCAACAAAATACATATCTTACAAAAAATTAAGTGCCGATTCAATCGTGATTCAAATGAATTACCACAAACATTTATTGAACATTGGTTACATTTATAGAGGAAAATTATATCGCAATAATAACTGTTATTGTTTTATTGCCTAGCCCTACGTTATAGTTGCAAAACGGGGACCAACTCCATATTAATGCCTATGGATTTACAAAGGGAATTCATAAAAGTAATGTGTTGGTGTCCCCGTACTTTTGTCCATATAGTGTGCCTTTAAATATACTGCATTTTAAAACCCACACTACTAGTATGCAAAATCAACACCTCTCTTGACAAAGAGTCATCAAAAACTGAACATTAGGAGTTTGTATATGTGTATGTATATATCTGGTTACTCAGTGTATACACTCTTGTTCTTTTCTTTGCTTACCCATGCCGGCAGCGATAACAGGCAGAGCCAGATCGTAGGTGTACAGGATGTATGACATCAGCAGAAAGTCCATGTAACTTCGGTGGCTTGGTAATAGGACTACCGGGTGCTCCTGAATGGCCTGTTGAAGCTAACAACAAAGCAAAGAACAGATAAGGAGTGTATTTGTATATGTATTTTAACTTCTCAATCACGCTTAAGCGTCTAGTAAGTGTGTACTCTCACCCTCTGGATGCCCTCTTCATTTACACAGATGTTCCTGAACAAGGTTTTAAAGACCTTGCTGAGCATAAAGGCAAAGAAGCGAACGGTGCTGAGCTGCAGACATTGAGCCATCTCCTCCAAGATGGCTGAAGCCTCATCCTGGACGTCATCAATAGCCCTGCCTTTCTCTTTGGAAACCTTGACAGTTCAAAAAAAATGTTACCCTAAATTCTTGTATACTGTATGGGAGTCAATGCAGAAATCCTCATGGCTGAATTAGAGTCTCACCGAGTCTCTAAAAGACTACAAACTGCACAAAATTGTAGAGCTGCAACAATAAAATTTAAACGAAATTAATTGACAACAAGTTTCCTAATGGATTAATCGTTTCATTCATTTTTTAAAGCAAAAATGTTAAATATTGCTGGTTTAATTTTCGTAAGTGTAAGGAACTGCTGCTATTCTTTATCATTTATGATAATAAATGAAGAGTCTTTGGGTTTTGGACGGTTGGTTGGAGAAAATAAGTAATCTGAGGATGTCACTCTGGGCTCTGGAAAATTGTGATGAGCATTTTTTTTATTATTTCTTGACATTTTATAGACTAAACAATTAGTCGATTAATCGTGAAAATAGTCCGCAGATTAGTTGATAATGAAATTACTCGTTAGTTGCAGCCCTACAAGATAGTACTTATCCTAAATCTTGACACCACAACCATGGCAACCTACTGTCAGTCAACCTCTACTTTACCTGATTGATAACATAGTGAAGCTGATCAGACTGAAGCACCATGCTCTTCAGCACACTGGCTTTACATGGCGTCACTCCTTTGTACAGAACAGGAGTGTAACATTTAAGGGCGTATCTCAGGTCACTGGAGTTCCTCCGCTCCTCCAAAATGTCCTCAAAGTCATCTCTTTTCTTCAGCATAGGGTCTCTATGCTACAAAAACCAAAACATCATTATTTCTAAGTTGCTTATTTTTTTTTTTGACAAATTCAGCGCACTAAGGAGCCAAAATTGGATAGGATATGCACTAAACTTTTAGTAAAATGCGCGGACAGGTGAGTACATCAGTAATATCTCACCAGGTACAGACAAATCTATGGTGTACACTTTAGAGCACCAGTCTCTGCAACAACAGCTATTCGGCTAAACCTTTCTGTGACAAAAAAGTATAGTAGCATCAAAATACTCTGATGTTGTACCTGATAATGTAGGAAATCCTGCACACAGAGCAGCCGCAGAGCAGCACATTAACCACGATGACCGAAACCACAAGAGTGGTATGGCAATACATTGAGACAAAATGTCCTGCATGCATATCGAAATGTAGTCTTTTGTATCTGTGAAAAACGCTAAGCAAAACATTAAACTGCCCAATTAAATGTACGTGATTCGTGCCAACTTCAAGACAGCACAGTATGTTTGGATGCTTTGTTGTTACATATTCATTTGACATTCACTTGTTTAAATTAAATTGGTAATTGTCAATTAGTGTAAACTGAGCTAACATGTTACAGCAGATATCAGAAGTTAGCTTAACTGTTAGCCCTGTTAAGCAAAGAATACATACCGAATAAACAGCTTTGGATGCCATACTTTGTCAAACTTTACAAAAACACAGACGCTGCATCCGGTGAAGTTTCAGAGGCACGAATATCTGTCCATCTGATACTTCCAGTTGATAAAATACTTGTAATTGAACAGCATCTGAAGAACTTCGCATGGGCGTGTACACCAACTGGCATTTCCGTGACTACGGCAGCCGGAAAGGTCCACAGCACGGTTTGCACCGTGTGACCCACGTTTTTCACAGTTTGTTGTCATTCATATTGAACCGCTGTTGTGGTTGAATTGGGTCTAGAGAAGTTCGTTTTATTTTTTTTTTCCGGCTTGTGCCATTAGCTTAAGATGAACTCCAAGACAAACGGAGAAGAAGATGAAGATAGTCTGTTTCTGGAACACGTTTTGAATAAACTGTATGACTTTGGTAAGTGCAGTTAGCTAGGAAGCTAATTTAGCTTTACTAACGTTAGTTAGTCAAACAGGTTCAAACAGGTGGTAGGCTGTCCCTTCTTTCTAATTTCTTTGACCATATATATGCTGATACAATAATGTCTTAGTTGGGTTACTGATGGTAATTCAACTCAGCCAAAATAACTGACCTTACGTTATTGTTAGCTTTACCCGATTGCTAACGTTTGTTGGGGCGTGTAACATTATAACGTTACATCCATGCTCACCAGTCACTGACAGCACAGAAACATGCTGTCAAAGTGAGTCGTTTTTATCAATTTAAAACGTATAAGTGATTGTTAGTAAATCCTGAATGCGAGTTTGTACCTAACGTTACTTAACTGTAACTTTAATGTATGTGTCAGTTGTGCTTGAGTCCTCTTAACAAAAATTAAAAATTAACAAAACAGAAGGAACGTTATGTCCCCCATCATGTAAACACGTTTCCTTTCCTAGTAAAATTATTAGAATAAAGAGATAAACCTCTGCTCTGCTGCGGTACAAACTATCATGATACAGCACAGTCATGCAGTTTTAACCCCAAATACTTAATGTACTATATATCCTTTAATATACTCATTCAGAAAAGTATAAATGCAATATATATAATAATAGTAAGCAATAACAAATGTATGTAAATAATACACTCTATGATCACATTAGATACACATTTGCACATAGACAACCCTGTCTGTTACACCTGCAGTAAATATAACCTCAATCATAAACACCTCTCTGACACTATCAATAAAAACTAAACATGAGCTTTGTGATGGTACGTTTTAGGGCAGAGTTGTGTTGCTGAGATTCTGTGTATTAAGTGAATGTGTAATGACACACGGTGATAGAGCTTTTGTCTGGAATGATGATCATTTTCAGCTGTTTTCTCATGTGTCCTTCACCAAACAAAGGTTGTTAAGACACAGACAAGATGATCATCTTTACCTAAAGTTGTAGGGACTGGACTGAGAATTGACTCGTGCTCACACTATTGGCTGATGTTGCAGGTAACGGGCCAGCATCAAAAAGAAGCTAAAGAAAAAACGAAAAAAGCATCAGGAAGAGGAGGATGAGGAGTTCCCTACAGTCAAGGATATCTGCAGTGACACTGAAGACAGCGGGGCAGATCATGTTGGTACTGAACATCAGCAGAAACAGCCAAAGACTGAACACAGAGGTGGGCAGAATAGCAACAATCTGTGTAACAACACCACTCACGTTATAGCCTTAACAACCTCTAATGACTTATTTTGTTTCCAGGAATCAAGTCAAGGGTTCTCAGATAATTTTTCATGTTAGATTAATATTTAAAATGCTACATTTAGCACTCAAACTAATCAATAATGACTTATCTGAGCATCCCAGGCTCCATACACAGATGTGGACAGGTGTCTTAGTAAGGAGTCATGCTAACACGAGCCTCCAGAACAGCTTCAGTGCTCTTTGCCAAGTCTGTGGAACTGTACTGGAGCCATGAACACCTTTCCCATATTCCCTCATTTATATAATACCTTTTAGTTAAACAGGTCTTCTCATTAAGATCAATATCTCTTTTGCAAGAGAGACCTGAGTGCGGCAGATAGAAAGAAAAACAAAAGGACATACATCATCAGAGATCCAAAATCTCCCACAGGTGTGAAACTGAGTCGAGGTCTGGTGACTGTGGAGGGCGTAGCGTTTTATTAATTTCATTCAATTTTCAAACTCCCAAACCTTCATCTTGTGCATGGAAGCATCTCCATTTGATATGTTTCTCCACTCTTTTATCCAGGTTTTTTCTTTAATTTGTCTGCCTTCTGTATATGCACAGCTCTCACTAAAATATGCTTTTAAAATTTCTCCTCCTCTACCCTCACAACTTCCACCACTTATTGCCTCACTCCTCTTGTTCTCTTTGGTTGAATGTGTCATGTCTTGCTCAGATCCAACCATCCCGCAGGTGAACCAGGTGGAGGTTGTGACATTTCACGACCCCACAAAGAAACCGAAAACCAAGCAGACACCAGCCCCAGACAAAATGCCTGTAAGTCTTTAGTTTACTCTGTATACTTAATTTAAAAAAGCACAGTTGAGGGTCATAAAGTACAGATTAGGCTGATGACATGAAGGTCAAATTCTCTTAATTCAGGTATCAATATTGCTTTATTATATATGTATTTATTGATTTCTCTAGTGCATTAACTGTGCATTGTCCGATAGTGCTGAATATCTAAGAGCAGCATATTGGAAAATTTCATAATATATAACTATCCAAAATGCAACCCTCAGTTTTGGCTGTCTGAGATGACTTGCATGTTCATTAAAAAAAATAAAACAGATCAGAACCAGTGTGAAAGATGAGGTCACAGTTTTTTATTCAGAAACTGATTCTAGTTTCCAAAACATAATTTTAGTTGTGAAATCATCTGTTTCCATCCGCCTACTAAAAAATGTAATGCACATTGAATTGAAATGATCTGGACCTAAAAATCTTGTATCTGTTTGCACTGCATTGTGTGCTACATTTGGTGAGACATTTACAGAATTTATATACAGCAGAAAGGGTAGAATATTACTTTACAGCACTTGAGCACACTGGCAGTAGACTTTTAACAAGGAACTGTATCAAGTTTATTTTACAACAAGTAATCTATTTGTGCAAATGCAGAACCTTTTTCTTATTGACATAATGAAACCTGATCTCCTCCATGCTGCTGTTTGAATCAACCTTCTCTGGGGCTCAAGAGGGGGAGCGGGTTGCCCACTAATAGGAAGATCGGCGGTTCAATCCCCCCGGCTCCTCCAGTCTGCATGTTGAAGTGTTCTTGGGCAAGATACTGAACGCAAATGTGTGTGAATGTTATCTTCTGTTTCTGATGAGCATTTGGCACATTAGCCTCTGCCATCAGTGTGTGAATAGTGTAAAAGCTTTGAGGGGTTGGAAGACTAGAAAGTCGCTATACCATTCACCATATACTGCTTGTCACCATCATCATTTATTTCACTTCCCCTCTTCTCTTGTCTTTGTTTCCTTTGGGTGTGTGCTTGCCTCACTATAAGGCCCAGATAACGGAGAAGGAGGAAAGGGACCAGCCAGAAGAACTTAATTTGGAAAAGGTGACATTTTCCTCACACTTAACTATATATTTTGTTTTCAGATGGTAAGTGCTGCATTTAAATTGATGATATGCAAAAGCTAATTTTAGTTATAAGTTCAAACTTTCAGTCTTATAATGTGTGAATTGATTCTTCTCGGGGATTCATTTACTTGCTGCCTTGCTATCTGAAAATTGTTATTTTGTAATTTTGAATGTGACTGTGTTATACTTGGCCATATACTTTTTTTGTTTTTGTTGAAATCAGGCTCGTCTTGAGGTCCATCGGTTTGGAATCACAGGCTATAAGAAAGAGCAGCAGCGTGTTTTTGAACAAGACAGAGCGATCATGCTGGGAGCCAGAGTAAGGAAAATTCTGGTTATATTTAATTAGCATCATATGCTAGGTCCTTATGTAGCACAGGCTTTTTAATAGCAGAGTGATCCAGTCACAACATAATTATTGTCTCTTAATCAGCCTCCTAAGAAGGACTATGTGAACTACAAGGTGCTGCAGCAGAAGATCAAAGAGAAGAAGCAGAAAGCAAAGGAGGAGGTTCAGCCGGTAAGACTTGCACCATCAAACCAAACTGTTCCAGCTTTACTTATATAATTAAGTAGATGTATTTCGTATTTTCTTAATAAAAATGTTAATGGGGCTGTAATTTCTAACGAGTGATGAATTTCCATTAAATTATACCTATTCTTCTATTATATGCTGTGTCATTGCTCTATAGGACCTGAAGAAAAAGAAGAAGCCGAGTAATCAAAGGTGGGAGAGACGGGCAATTCTGAATGTATCTGTAGACATTTTCCTCAATGATTTGATAAGTAGACATCACAGGGCAGCAGGTTAGCGCAAAGAGTATTGAAACTAACATTTACATTTGGAAGATACTGGCTGAAACCGACACGTCAGCAAATATTTCTCTTTATAACTGTCCTTGAATCTGTCTATAATTAAAGTATTGTACATAATTATCTGTATCTAAGCACATAATGCATCCTTCTTTAACAACAATTTATCATAATATTTGGATAGAAAACACAGCACTAGTATTTTACATTCTTCAAGATTAAGCTTTAGAAAGTCCCAAATTAAGATATATTCTCGGTGTTTAAAATCTGTGCTGCCACCACCACCACCAGGGACAAGAAGAAGAAGGTGTCCTCTGGCTCTGGCACGGCCCCCACAGGCCAGGTGGGCCGCTTCAAGAACGGCATGCTGGTCCTCAGCTCCAAGGAGATCCAGAAAATCAAAGGCAACAAGCGGCGCAAATAGGCGTGGGTGAGTGTGTTCTTGTACTTGAATTAAATGACCTAAGAGGTATTAAAAGATGAGGTGACCCAAAGGCAGGGTACCTACTGGTCATCACCTGGGACTTAAATGTTAGTAAGTTTAGTGTAAGGGCTAAGGTGGAACCTATAGTGATATGGTTAATGTGGACTGAATGTGTCGCTGAGAGTCACAGTGTGCCCATGTTTATGTTTGCAGGTGAAGATGAGGTTAAGTCCTTCAGGATGGGAAAATATAACAGGAAGAACTGGTATACAGGACTCCGTCAGTGACTCAGCTTACTGCAGGACTGTTTGCAGTGTTATGAGGAAGTGGACGAGAGCTGAATGCAACGTGAGCTGTAAGGCTGATTTCCAGAGACGTCACTGGTCTGCAGTAAAATATGGGAGTCTTATTTTTGACAGACTGCTGAGTCAAGAATCCAGTTTATCGATCTCCAAAATGGACCCTAATTGTACACTGTGGCAGGACGTTAATGCACAAAACTGGAGACTTTGTCAAATAATGTTCCATCACAGTTAATTTATTTTGTTTTTATAAATGACCCCTCAAAAAACCCCAAGACATTTGCGTTTCTTGTGTTTTACACTGTAAAGGTTTTAAAAGTATGCAGTTACAATTCATTTCTCATATACAAACCATGTAGTCGTACAAAACATTTACATTTACATTGCCAGGAAGGGAAGGGGTCATACCGGGACAGGGGGGGAAATATATTTTTAAAAAAAAAACATTGTACACACAAGTTAAGTCCTGGCAGAAGTTTTAATGAAGAAACACATACAAACACTCTGAATGGACCTTGAGAAAGCAGCACTGGTCTTGCAGATGTAGTTTTTCTCCCTTTATAAACAATTTTGTACACAGCTTCTTGCTGCGCTCGAGGTGTTAACATTACAGATCTTTGCAGAAACCAGTTTTTTTCATTTTATTAAAATGAAAACAAAAGTTTATGGATTCTGAGCGACGACAATGGCAAAACAAGAGTTGTGATCTGGCAGTGTGCGGCTGGGTGAGGTCACAAATTCTCACACCTTTTTCTTGAAGCAGCTTTGTTATTTAAATATTTTAAAAAGAAGAGCATTAGGAAATATGAACATATCTGCAGCACATCACTACGTTTCAAGCTGTAAGCAAGTCTGTTTTATGTAGAGTTTTTGTAGCCTTTTTTTAACCTGCAACAACCCATCGCAATCAACCATAGACAGTGTACATATATATATATATAGATTCAGTAGCCATTCAACTTTTATACTGAAGACATTGAAAAGGGCAATATACAAAAGAAAATAGATATGTAATTCAATATATTTACATACTTTATAGAGTAAATAAATCTGCTATTTTTAAGTTAAACAGCAAACAGTAGTGACATGCTTTCCTCCAGAACCATATGTTTAAGGTAAATTAGTAAAATATCTCACATTCATGGGTGGGTAAGTGTTGGGTAAAGGGACATGCCATACAATCACTCTTAAGATACATATCTAGACAAGAGTGACTGCAGTGTGACTCACTTTAAAAATGTAATTTTTGTCTGTCACATAAATTAGTCTTTTGATATTAATATTTTAGTAAAAACAGTGTATTCGGAAACGAAAAGGCATCATAACCTCATTATACCTGATACATTGTCTGAACCTTGCAACACTGAATTTAAGCACCAAAGTGTGAGCTTTTATTCCCTCCAGTCTGTGCCATTTTGACATCAACACAGCCCACAGACATGTAACTCCAAATCATGCAGACTTTCTAAAGAAAGAAATAATTTCTCTGTGGTTATATGATAGACATCTCCCTTTGCTTGTGGACCTAAAATCTTTTCCTGGTTACCACTAAGTCAACCTCAGGGCAGGTTTCTCCTCTGGTGTGGGAGGTGGGAGGACGGTCAGAGGGGAAGGCTGAGCAGAGTAAAGCAGAGAAGCCAAAAAGCTTCACTTGCAAATGCAAATATAGCCCTAAGGTTGTAGCTCACAGTCTGGGGCACGTCAGGAAAAATTCCCCTTTGGCAGATGGTTTGCTTTCTGGGTCGGGAGAAACTGGTTCAACTCCTGACTTCTACACTAATGCTGCATGCAGTCATATGGAATGAATGGCAAATGTATTGTCTTCAGTGATTCTTGGCCGTTTCAGTTGGTAGACCATATACAGATGAATCCCAACTGAAATCCAAATAAATTTTGTTTTACTTGACTAAAATGCTCCACTAAACCTGTAATAACTGTTTTATTTGTCCACTTGGTGGCAGCACTCATCACTTTTTAAGTTGATACAGTGAACTTGTTAGCAAACAGGTGCTTGTTTATGCATCAGCAGACAGGGAGCATCGTTAGCATTAATTTGGAGTCATGTTTTTGGACAGACAAATGTAACTACCAATAATTTCTCTCCATTTAGCTCTGTTTTTGATCCCCACCAACTCCTGAGAGAAATATATGGTTCACCTGCTAAATGCTGTTCTGTGTTCACCAGCTAGCCACTAACTGTGTCCGTCTGCTGTTTAGTGCTGGACAGGACAGGCAGTATACAGTGGGTTTTTAGAGCTATTTTACTGAAAACAATGCTATGACAGCACAAGAGTGAATCACAACGATCAAGCTACAGGGCAGAAAACTAAAACAATGAGCTGAAAGATGCTAAAAAGCTGCCAGGGAGCTGCAGAGTCAGGTTCATCACTACAAGCGATTCCTTTCAAATTACACAAAGTCATGTGATCCATTGTTATTTTAAAAAATATAGATTTTAGCATCTGTAAAAGAATCTTTCCCACATAATATGGATGCAGCATCAGATGCACAAAGCCAGTTAAGCTGGTTTGGCTTTTTGCAGACTAACATATTTCCTGTTTGCTCTTCTGGGATGTAAACATCATAAATGTAACATTCTAGGTAACAGCTTTGATTCATAAATAAATGCATATGCCCATCCCCATCTCCCAAAATGGTTAAATCATTATTCTTTATTCAAAGTAGTTTCTTTTTTAAATTAAAAAAGAACACTGGGAAGTAAAAGCTAACCAAAATGACTATTATACTACTTTAATGCTCTGTAATTAAATAAATTCTTTAAAAAAAATTACCACTGGCTTTATAATGTGTCTACTGTTGTATTGAAAATAGACTTCACTAATTCAAGTAAGAAATTCCTAATTAATTGTATTTCTGAACAGTCGTCTGGCATATTTAAAGTCTGTGTTGAACTGAGAATTTAAAAGAATACATGTGTGTATTAAGATATAAGTGGTGCCTGCAATCATAATAATTCGTCACCGTATATATAAACTTGTAAAATGTAAATGACGTTGCTGTTTTATGTCCCTGATTAAACGTTTCAATATCATGTGATAGTTGATGATTTAGTAAGAGATGTAACACTTCCAGAGAAAATCTGACACTGTGTCAGATAAAATCTTTTTAAATCCATTTTTAAAATGTCAGCGTTTAAAGGTATGAAAACACAGTTGGCTAATCTATAACAGCAGAATCAATTCAGAAATGCATTAATTCTGTTGTTGCCACCATCCAACAGCAGAGGGCGAGCTGTGGTAGCAATTGGCTTTAACATCACTCATCGCAAAGACAGTAAAACAGTACACTATTTACAATACAGCCTCAGATATTTTGTAAACTTGTTCAATGCTTATTCCATGCTTAATATCACACGTTATAATAACAACTCACATTTCAGTATTTACAGTTTGTGGATTTCCATTCACACATACAGTAAACCCAGTCTTTGTATGTCAGCTCTGTGTATACCTCCAGTTACGTCTCTCTCACACTCTCAAGTTTATAGGAAATAAAAATATTTCAGATATTGTAATAAAATTCAAGATTAAATAACCTGAAAACAAACCTCTCTGCTGCATTAAGATAAATGAAATTTTACATGGGTAGTGTATGTTAAGACAACAAATTATGTGATTAGTCACAGTGGTTTGGTTAAATTTTGAAACTATTGTCCTGTACAGGCTGCTGTATCCAATCCCAGCACCAGAAATGTAGCATCACCTGATGTGACTTTTCAAGATCATTGTCAGTACGACAGATTAAAGGTGCCCGACAGCATCTGAGATTCTACAGAGAGACTGAGAGATGAGCACAGACTAAAATTACCATGAGACAACCACACTTCTCTGATCTGCTTTTGATATATTATAGTAGCTATTGAACTTATAAAACAAAAAAGGAAATGTTTGGCTCAGTTCCATTTAATTTCAGCATTTTCTGATGTTCCTCCCTCAAGGTGAAAACATTTTTCTTTGAGACAGGGTGAATACAGAGCCTGAGAGACGCTGCAGGGAAAACATCAAGGCAGGATATTCTCCTGCAGGTTATTAATCAACCTCGTTCCCTCACTTTGATTAATTTAACAGGACAAGGTACAAATTGTTTGCACACAATTTTCTAGTTTTAGCAACCCTAACTTACACAAGTATTTAAAATCTGCAGGCATATTTTAACCTCTAACCTCACTGACATGCCAGCGGTTTAGTCATCACAAACTTAAGCTGTGCAGCCAAATATTATTCAAACTCACAGACCTTGATTTGTTAATTCTAGTGGAGATGCCAAAATTTAGCGTGGTGTTGATCTTCTCATCTAACTCCTGGCAAGATGGGAAACAAGTGTATGTCAAACTATACCTTTAACCACTTTAGATGGCAAAACAAAGCATGAAAGGTTGCTGCTCTCATCATCCAGTCTCTGGTGAGTCTCTCCCTTTTAGTCTACCACTTGAGGCAGCTACACATGTGAAGTGCAAATGAACTGACTGGTAACTCAAGTGTTAGACTACTAAATTCCTCCCTAGATTCCTACTTCTAAAATGACAAGCCATTTCAAAAGAACACAACCAATCCTAATCAACCACTGATGCACCAAAAATAATTTTAGATTGCAAAATAAAACATTTCCCCTGCAGGGTGGCCACTGTCGATGTTCAGCAGATCTGTCAAATGACTGAAAACTGAAATGGAATTAAGCCCAATGCTTCCCAGCTTGACCTCAGTGTGTAAACATCTTTGACAGCAGCACCAAACAATCTTAATCACACTTCATATGAGATAGAGAAGAAGGTAAAAGAGAAAACAGACAAGACAGTGTTATTAGCCACAATTGCGATAAAACTGTGCAGCTTTTAAATATTTCATGAGTGAAACATCCCCGGGTGCCACTACAACTCCTACAAAACACCCTCTTCATCTAGTTTTATCTTGAAAGATGTAACACCTGAGAGAGAAACAGAGCAGCAAAAAGCACTGCTGAGATGTTTCTCCCTCGTTTTTTCGCCTACTGAAATCACCTTGTGGATTTTTAAAAATGACTGGGGTTGTTTTCTAACTGAATCCCTAAAAAGCGCAGAAAATCTCAGATAGCGAAATTGAAAGGCAAAAATATCTTCTAGCAATGTTGGAATCTTCACTGATTCTTTCAGAGTGAGACGGTCGATTAGTTTGGTCTCAGGCCTCGAGGAGAAGCTGTACTTTCCTTCCGTTAAAATTACTGGAGTAATAACATAAGTGTTGTTAGTATCCTGGAGTTTACAGGGGAAAAAAGTATGGCAACCCACAGTTACTCCAGTCCTCTCCACAAGCGTCATTTATTTATTATTATTTATTTATAGCCAATAATATCTCATATTTATTCATTGCCCCAAATTACGTAGCAGGGTTTCACATTGAAGTATCCAAGACAAAGGGCACCTTGAGAAGGATAGGAGAAGGGTAAATCCAACCTGACGTGACTGGAAAAGGTCCACACATAAGCCAACTGCACATGACATAGTTGGTTTATATCCACAGCATGCTCGGAGGGAGGACAGATGTCCTACTGTTTGATATTCTTTGGCACCTCCAGGCCCGTCAGTAAGGTCACCTAAAACGCAGCAACAGAGCAAAGACTCAATGAGATCATCACTGACTGAGAGTGACGGCAGACTGTGATGAGGGCCACATAAAAGCATGGCTTTGACATGTAGTTAAATGTGGGGAAGACACATTTGACCACTTCATTAATACAGATTCCTTACTCCACGCACTTGTACTTTCTGCTTGCAAAAATGTTAAAACATGCTGTATACAGTATTTACTACATTTCATTGATGCATCAGGTCTTCAGGTGAATTTTATAATGATGAACCTTTGCAGCTTTGCTACTTTCTAGATCTTTTTTGTACTCTGTAAATGTGTGTCTGTAGCCACGTTGCTTTGGAGGAACTCTCCTCTTTTCATTGTTTGCAAACCAATAAATCACTATCAACAGTCAGATAACCACACAAGTCTCGCGATGTCCACCTGACGTCGGCATTAAATGCATTGCTCAGAAATAGCAGCCAGCGTGCAGCGGTGTGTTTACAGCGAACAGCTGATGGAGTTAGTGGTCACAGGCCTACAGCCTACGTCAGCTGGTTCATTTGCATAATCTTCGCAGGTCTTTAGATTACGGTGGAAACTCACACAACAATGGGCTGAAGGAACCTTTAGTTCTTTGAAAAGAGATCTGGACTTAAAAGTCCCCGGATTGTAATTTTTATTCCACTGCGTTTGTCAGACAGCTACTTTATAAGTTACTAGATATACTGTAGGATTAAGTTTTCCGTTATGAGTTGAAAAAATTGTCCTACATCTACAACAGTGTATAATAAGAAGTAGTGCGTGACTAGAAGTATAAGAAAACAAAACAAAGTAAAAAATATACTATAGAATCCGCCTTTGTTTTGCATCAGACGTACTCAAGCTTCAGTGCATTTTGACATGTCTAGTCTTGGCAGCTCTGATATCAACAAAAACACACACATTCCCAGCACATACAGGCATTAAAGAATACATCATAACTACCATCCCACACACACACACACACATACACACACTGACCTGTACGTTTCTGTTGAGGCTGACAGCTGGTACAAACACCCCGTCCAGGCTCTCAAAGGCAGTAGGTCCATGCTGCTCCTTGTTGATGAAGAAAGTTAGTGTGTGTTTGGTCAGATCCAGCAGGATGCCCACAGTTGCACCCTTAGTGATGCCTCCCTCCGCCCTACACACACCAACAACAACAACAACAAATAAGTCAAACAGGTTAATTTGTAGTGTATATAGGAAGTAAAAGTAAGAGTGTGTAATTACAGTATATAACCAAGTGGTATGTGATATTAAAATAGAGCTCTGTTTTGACAATAAACTGCTAGTTGAACTGATTTGTCAGCGGACACGATGCATAAATATGAATACAGTTTACTGTCCATAACATTGACAATATAACAGAACATGGAACAACTCATATCTGACTGCAAATATTCAAGCAATCTTTTATCTTCCCTTGTAACTTGTATTCTTTCCCTACAGCTCATTAAAAAAGAAGTTCAAACTGGAACTCGCATTCACCAGTGGACCAAACTCCCCCCGAGATGTTTAAAATGTTATTGGTTTAATCCACATAATGTGCATAAAGGAAAAGTTAAAGCATTAAAAGTTCAAATCCTATATTCAGTGATTTAGATTTTTAATCATTTGCGTCCATAAAGTCTAAAACTCCGTTTGATTTTACAAGCTCATCCAAACGTGAAAATTCAGAATACATCAACCCAGTCTAGTGGAAGGGTGATGAAAATGGGCATTTAATGAAAACTACACGTTTTTACGTCCTGAAAGAGACTGTGTCACTGAAATTGGGTTTTAGCTTAGATGATAAGGTGCGAAACCACCTCTATATCCAGTACATGTACAGTAAGTGCACAAACACATGACACCTGCCTCAGGACTGGGTTGAGTGAGCGTTACTGCACTGAGAGGGATGAAAGAATCAATATGCGGTTAATAACATGAAACACACATGGGATGATTAATGACATGAAAGCAAATGGCACAGCAATCTGTAGTCTGGATGGACCGAGGAAAAGGAATAGAAATAAAATCAGAAGGTTTTGCATACTTTTGTGAAGAGTCAATTTTTTTTCTTGTGAAGAATATCCTTTTTCTTTTAAATAAATGTTTAATAAGGGTTTGAAAGTTTCGGCGTGACACTGAGTTCAGAGAGATGTTTTGATGTCGTCTGCATTCTTCTTCTACTGCTCCCTGGTGTGTGTGTGTTTGTGCATGTTTACTTCTTTGCTGTGTAACATTTAATGCAGAAGAGCATTCCACCTTACAGAGACTCGGGGTCCTGCTGTTCTCATTGACACACAAATGCTGTTCAAATTAGTTCAAAAGATGAGTATTACTTTGTAGTGAGGCATTGGTCATTCAATTCTGTATTAAACATCAGTATTAAACACATACATAAAATACATCTTTTGAATTAACAGATTGTGAAAAAACACTCGTGGTGTAAATATTTCCATGGTGGACATGATGAATTATAGTGAACTAACAGTAAATGACTAACCCTGTGAACCCCCACAATAAGCCGGCGGGTTTGAAATCCACGTTCTCTTAAAATAAATGGCCAAAATAAAAGGATTGTGAGTTTCTCACTTTACAATAACCCATCAGGTCTACAGTTACAATTGTTAATGAGTTATTAATTACAGACCCCAGGCTAAAAACTATTGACATCAGACAGGCTATAATAAGCATCGGTTTTTAAATCCTTTTTAAACTTTATTTTTTCCCCCCGATGTTTTATGATCCCTGTGTATAGGCCAAATATGTGTTTGTAAACATCTGACATGCGCAGTGTGACGTAGTGTGATAATCAAGGGCCTTCCCTTGTGGCCAACTGTGTGCGGAGGCATACTGGTAAACAAGGACCTTGAAGATGTGCTTTGTTCCCTGTATCACGTGTGCGCAAACTGGTTCTATCTGGTAGTTGTAGACACTAATTCTGACCTATTTAGATATCTCATTTGATGTGTTACATACAAGGCTTTATGGTGAATGGTCTGTATTTGTATATCGCCTTTCTATCCATCTTTCCGAAGATGCACTCAAAGCACTTTTACACTATATCACATTCACCCCATTCACACACTGATCGCAGGGACTAAGGGGCCTCTGCCATCAGAAACAGAAATACACATTCACACACCGATGGCTCTGCCTATCCTGTAGGACACATAAGCTGAAGAAAAAGTCAAAAGAGGTTTAGTGCGACTGTACCAACAACTTCTCCGATATCAGATCTGTGTTGAATATACCTATATTCAATATATTGAATATTCCTATTTTCAAGAACCCGCAACTTAGCCTGTTCCTGTAACCTTTCAGTGATCAAAGTGAAGATTGAAATATATTTATTACATTTAGCTGACGCTTTTATCCAAAGTGACTTACAATTGCTATATATGTCAGAGGTTGCACACCTCTGTAGCAAACTCCAGAATAGCTACAGAGTGGACATTTTGGCGAGTGTTTTGTCAGCATTAATCAATAAGTATTTAGTTTTAACAGTTGAAAAGTCTGCATCATTAGAATGTGGCACCAAATGGTGTAAAGGAAATGAGTCTGAAGTTATTTTGAGTGTCTGTGATTGCATATACATGTCTGTGTGTGCTTAACAATAGACTGATATGTAAATTCTTAATAACAAACCAAATAACAACCAGTCAGTGTTCTCCACCTACAACTGGAAGAACACCCACACACTAAATACTTAAATAACAAAATCTTTAAGTTATAGTAGCTTCCATCCAATAATACTAATGGCCTCCAGAGTCACAGTATCGTCTGCACCTACCTGTTGGTGTGGGAGTTGTTGTGCATGAACCAGGAGCGGTTGTTGTCCACATACATGGCCCACGCCTTGTCATCTTTCCCCAGCATCATGTCTTTCATGGTGTTGATCCTCGCCACGCCAAACGCAGGGTCCGGGTGGTTGTCATAACGATCGATCCTGACCTCCCAGTAGTGGGTGCCCTGAGATTCACGTGAAAGTGAAAAACTTAATTATTAGTATTATTATTATTATAATCTTGGTGTGGAAACGTACTGATGTACGTATGAAAAAAGAACAATCACTAGTGATATGACTTCAACAGTCAAAGAAACAGGTAAAAATGTGATGTGAAACTAATTTAAAAGTGTGTTTACCTTGGAAAAAGCAGCAGTTCCCAGCACCACACGGTCATCATAGCTGTTACAAGAGACTGTCTGGTTTTCATTGGACAGAACAATGTCCCGATGAGCTGTGCTGGGGTCAAAGGTGAACCAAGCCACTGTAGGAAGGAAACAGCAGCCTGCTAATCTGTAGTCAATCACTTTGAAGTTTTTTCTAAAAATGCTTTTAAAAAGTTTCACACTCTTGTTTACCAAAGAATATATAAATATCATTTTACCAGCTTTGCACTACTTTGATGGTGCTCATTGATCATTTTTTACCCCGACCCACAAACACATTTTGCTGCCACAGGGAGAAACTGTTTCTTTTTAGAATAGCAATAACTTCCTGTTCCAATGAGATCTTTTTTTAATTATTATATCATTATAACAGCTTCACATCAACAACTAGTTTTGCTACACCGAAAGACAATGTTTATATGCCAAAAAACTTTCATATGTTAAAATGATTTTTTGTTAAAATAAGTCAAAGAAATTTCCCAAAAATTTTAGACAAACTGAATATTAATTAAAAGTAAATGGCAAAAGTAAATCAGTGCTGGTACAATTTTGATAAACAAGAAATAGTTCACTTTCACTTAAAGTGGCTTTGGACATTCTGAAATGTAAACATTTTCGACAGGTGATAATATGCACAAGACCCCACTGTGATTTGATGAACCCTTTTCCTCTTCTCTTGTGTTTTATTACAGGAGTGGAGTCTGGTATGTGGGAGTCGAGTACCGGTGGCTAGCCAATCAGTTCCTCTCAGACGGGCTACTTAAGCCAGCTCTCCACTCCACTCAGCACCAGATCATTGACTAATGATACCCGTCACGCTTCCAGCCAGATTCAGCTCGCTTCTCTTGTTTGCTTGCTACCTTTGACTTGGTTTCCCTGTGCCTTAGGTTACCACACTTGGTCCGACTCCCACCCAGCTCAACTTCCTTGGACCTCCCTCTGGACTTCCCTCTGGCCTTACTGGATTCCCCTGGACTTCATCCTGACCCCCGCGACCTGTTGGATTCCCCGAACCCCCCTTGAGCCTGCTTAGTACCTCCTTGTTTCTGAAGTTTGAGTCTGAGTTTTGCAACTGAGCCCAGACTACCTGAGCTAACAATGTAGCCATCATGTACAGAATCATGCTCAATATCTAACTATTAGTTTCTTAAGTCTTTTGTGACAATAAACCTAGCAGTCAAGAAGTAACATTATATACATTACATTGGTTCCTTCCAGACAGCATTACATATGGAAATCCATACCTGGCAATTTTATATAGCATTGTGTCTGAAGGGCCATACAAACACACACCCGCACACACACACAGAAAGAATTATACTACAAATTTAAGAACATTTTATATAGAGATCAGTGTTTGTTGTGCAGCCAGAGCCTTTGCCGTCTGCTCTATTCCTTGTCATGCCAACAAGGGTTGCATCCCATAATTTCCTGTCTCTGTGTGGCTGTAGGAAGCTACAGTCCTCAAGGCAAGAGAAGGAGGCGGCGATGAGGGGTGAGAGAAAGAAAAAGAGGGCAGGAAGGCAGACAGAGAAAGAAAGAGGACGGGAGGGATGAGCGGTTATCAGTCTGAAAACAGACTAATGCCCATTGTTATTGTGGGTTGGCAAAGTGAGATGGTGTGTGTGTGTGTGTGTGTGTGTGTGTGTGTGTGTGTGTGTGTGTGTGTACTTGTACTTCCTACATGGTGTGGACCGGATTTTAGATTTTAACCATCAGAGTGAAGACATTTTTAGAAAATTAAGGACATTTTGGCTGGTCTGTTCTGTTTGAAGGTTCACACTTTTTTCAAGTGTAAGAATAGAAATAGGGTTAGGTTAGGGACAGGTTAGGGTCGGCATTTTATTCATGATGGTTAAGGTTAGGGTAAGGGTTCAGGGAACGCATTATGTCACTGAGTGTCCTCACAACTACAGAAGTACAAGGGTGTGTGTGTGTGTGTGTGTGGTGTCGTTTGGGAAAGAAGAAAGAAAGGAAAGTGGTGTAAAGGGTAGATAGAAGGGAAAAAGAAAGTAGAGGAAATGAAACGACTACAGTCACTGTAGGTGACCTTAGCTACTGTTTTATCCATTTCAACTGAAAAGACATACAAGAATTGAATAATTCACCCACTTTTAAAGTCAACTACTTATTTCACTCAGTGTACATCAATAGGCATGGACACAGGAAGTAGGGGTGCTAAGGGGGTTGTAGCACCTGTTAAAACCAGGCATTATACTTTAAAAACCATCAACTGATAAAAGTGTGATGCAGACTCGTAGGTGAGGGAGAGAGAGAGAGAGAGAGAGAGAGAGAGAGAGAGAGAGAGAGAGAGAGAGAGAGATTTGGACAGAAATGTTGAAGTGAAAATCTTTCTTTGATCATGAAGCCTAATGTTGCTCTATAGTTCTGTGGTTTATCGGTGAAGTGTATGAACTGACAGATCTGCATTATATAGGCTAAGCTTCTCTCCTCTATGAAACGTCTGTATTCTCACTGTGCTGCATTATTAGGAACTATGATGAACAATCTCTCCCTCTTCATCTCCCTGCAGTTGTCATGCATTAGTTCCCTGTTGTTGACTGTGTAGTTGCTGCAGCTGCTTTGACATTCAAGTCTGCTGTCTGCTGTGATGTAAAATCTTCTCAAATTGTTGTAAATAACTTTCAGATATAAGTTATCCTGGCCATTCAAATTAATACAAAAAACATGAATATGGCGCACCATTTATTATAACATCATTATTTTGACTGACCTTCTCTCTGCATCCCTGTGAAGGGGAGACCGGGGTTGGTTGGCACACTTTTCACTCTCTGCAGTATTTCTCTGGCAGAATATTCTAACCAGCATCAAATAAAAGATTAATGTCTCAGCTACAAATAAATATATCTTAATGTACGCAAATTTTTTTGCAAATTGATGATTGTGATTAAAGCCATTTGCTCTTTAACAACACCCAGATGCTAAAGGCCGCCACTGCCTGTAGTATAAAGCACTTTATACTTCTTATTCGCTGCCTTTTCCATAAGAAATTTCCACTCATGTTGAGAGGAAGAAGATTCTCTAATCAATTTGACATGGTACAAAGCATGTCATGAAACCTGTTTAACGACGATCCTCACAAACAAAAGTGTTCACACACTCTACCTACCATCCGAGGTCTTTAGTACCACAGTCTTGCTGTACGGCCCCACACCGATGGTATTGTAGGCTTTCACTCTGGCATTGTAGGAGCTGTTAAAATGGAGGCCGTCCACCGTACACACTGTCTCCTTCCCCACATATACCTCCTGAGGGTACACACACACATTTTAGTACTATCAATACAAATGCAGATTAAGGACATGTACATGTATATTCGCTGCTTAAACACACAGGATATGTATTAGTGAAGGCAAGAACTCACTTGCTTAAAATGCATGTTTGCCGATGACACACACATTTAACTACACACATATAACACACACACATACACACACAAACTACCATCTGGCTTTATTTAGAGTTGAGCAGCATATGGATTATGAATAATAAAATAAAATGGAAGACTAGCTACGGAAGACACATCATTTACTGCATTTGAGATTAGATTACTGTCATATTGTTGTCGAGCCTTTTACTCTTCTTTACACACAGTATGTATTCTGACTCAGTGTGTGTTTGTGTGTTGCGCTGACCCTGTACTGTCCTCCGTTGCCATCATCCAGCTCTAAGATGTAGCCCTCAATGGGGTTGCTAGGGGGCGCAGCTACCCTCCAGGCCAGGGTGGCGCTGTTGTTCCTGGTGCAGCACTTCTCCAGTTGCAGCAGAGGAGCCGCCGGCACCTGAGGTCCAGACTCCACTGGAGGGAGAAATAGATTGATGAGATGTAAAGCTTGTAATGGGGGGGGTTAGGCTTGGGAGGGTTAGGCTGAAAGGGTAGATGGATGAAGAGAAAAGGAAGACAAACATGGTGATGCCATCAGCTGGCATTTAAACAAACTAATAAAAAAAAAAAAGGGAGCTTTAATGTGGGTTAAAGGTGAAAAAGCTCCACGTTCATTTATGGGGCAACAGCTGGGAATCAGTGGCTTTAAGTAGGCCATGTGAGGACATTATACCCCTGTAGAGGTAGCAGTGCCAGCGGTGCATAGGTTAAGCTTTCACAGCTTGTGGACATTTTGTAACTTAAGCTTCCAGCAGCAATAATTTGAACACTACTTGGATTATTTATTTTCCAGAAGGTCCCCCCACATTATGTTCTTGTCAAGGTGGGAAAATTACTAACTGATCTGTAGTCTTGAGATACAAACTCAAAATAGAAAGACAGACTGATCAGCATATATGATTTAATGAGTTAATAGATTTAATCAGAGCAGGATTCTGAGCTTGTTAAAAAAGTCAAGAAAGGGAGGAGCCAGCATCATATCAAAGGATTTTTCTATTAAAAAGACATATCTGTCTAACCCCTTGTGGTGGTAAAACAAATGGGGCAAAACTGCATTCCAAAAGGAGCTGAAACAAACACACAAACAACAGAAACAGGGTAAAAATAACCACTGAACACACAAGCGGAGATCTCGGGGTGATAAAGTCTGCTTCATATAATTTCCTTATTTGTTATCTGATCTATCTAGACCAGAATAAGAGCAGTGAAGACACAGAGGAAAGGCAACAGTCATGACAGTGGGAACAACATAGCAGGATCTGTGCAATATACAGTGCACATATCAACATTAATGTTTAAATTCAGTACTTTTCACAGCATTTGTAGCCAAAGTAGTTTTTGATTCATGCACAACCACAAGATAATGAAGATTATTTGTTGTTAAATGAAGTACAGCATTATTTTTATTTAAATTCATGTATGTATGTATATGTATCTATATATAGATATATATTGCATTATTTAAAAATTTTATATAATAATTCACCCTGACATTTTACATTTTTTACTGAATATATTCAGTTTATGTACTGTGTATTGCATTTCTACAATGCAATACAACAATGACAACAGGTATTGTTTAGAACAATGAATGAAACAGCTCAGTGAAATAATGGTTAAATGATTATTTACATTAAAAAGTAAAAGAATAAGTAACAAAAGACTTGCATGGGCTAAAGAGAAGTACTTCAGGCAACAAATTTCTGTAACTCTATAGATTGTTGGAAACTTTGTGTTCCCGTGAAGGCGGCGCTATTCTGCAGAGGTGCCATTCATTGGAGAGGAGCGGGAAAAACATTAACCATGCAGAGGAAACAGACCAGATAGACACTGTGGGACAAAAAAGACCAGTGAATTTCCTGATTTGTGAGGGCTATTTGGGCGGAGGGACGAGGAAGGAGTGACAAAATAAATTCAAGGAAGGAAAACATAGGTTTACATAGGCGTAAACAGAGGTTTAAACTGAGGTGAAAAGTCTCTGAAATACCTCCTGGGCTCTCTGTCTCCATCTCAGCCTCACCACTGTCTGCTGCCTGCATTTGTTTCAATAACGGACTCTCCTGCACATCTGGAAATATGACGTTGGTGTGGATGTTTTAATAAAAGAGCACACGGACAGTAGGTGTACAAAACAGCTAGAACTGACAGTGAAACCAATGGAGATATTAAGACTGATTGCATTAGAAACATGATACGAGTTCCATATTCACTGAAGTTGTGAAGAGAGTGTGCTATAATTCACGTTATGTCCTAATCACACGCAATGAATTAATAATCTCAAAATTGTGGTCAAGAAAATAAAGCCTTATGATCCTTCATGTACAAATGAATGTAAATCTCATGATTTTCACCATTTAATATCAACTTATAGGTCAGAGTATTATAAATTCTAAACATTTTGTATCAGAAAATGTCTGTAACTTCCTTTAAGTTATTTTAAAAGATGATGTCAACATTGTACAAAGTTTCATTAATGTAAAAATTAATCATATGCATATTAGGGAACATCAGAGGTTTTCAGAGGTTTATGGCTCAGGTGGTAGAGTACGTTATTTGGTAACTGGCGGGCTGCTGGCAAAATTTCCCGGCTCTCCCAGTCCTTTGTTCCTGATGGCTGTGATATGTGTGTGAACTTAGTATCATCATAAGTGCTTTGGATAGGAAGTGCTGTATCGCTCCTGATGAGCAGTTGGCACTTGCCATCAGTGAATTATTGTTTGTGTGAACGTGACAAGTGTTGGAAGGCGCTTTGAGTACTTCAGTAGACCAGGAAGATGCTGTATAAACACAAGCCCATTTACCATACACCCATATATCTCATATTAGATCAGAAAACACTGCAACTATACAGAGACTTCAAAGTGCATACGTGAAGGTTTGGTCATGGATAACACTATCTGTGTGTCTTTCCAAGTATGTGAAGGTATCTCAACTTGATTTGCATACATATTTTAGTCACTTTTACCTCAAGCAACTAATAACGCAAACTAATAACAGAAATGTAAGAATTACTTTTGCAAAATTTTCTTTACAATCTCAATTGTTTTCATTGTTCCTGTTCTACATTCCACATACTAACTTAATTGCTGAGATAATTGAAGAGAATTTACCTTTAATCTGAACCTCAATTACAGAGTAAGGTGTTTAAAATGAAAATTCTTAACTTTACAATGGAGCATCAAGCAGTACAAGAACTATAATACTACAAGAAATTAATTCTTTCTACTGAGTGTTGCATAGAAAATGTGAAAATATGAAACATACCATTCGTTCATTTCATTACCTTAAATAATATAAACTACATAGAGAAAACTTATTTTTCAGATGTTTTCATGTGAAGTTTTCATGTGATAATGCAACAGGAATATAATAAGAAGCAGCAGTCCTAAGCAAATCTTTGAACAGGGTTCTAGCTACCATCGAGGACACTGAGCTCCTGTCCTCTGTAGTATTTCTGGGAATGCGAGAGTTTTAGCATTCTAAGGAAAACTTACACATAAATAAATAAATTTGGAACAGCATTTAGACCTTTTGTGTTGGGAAATTAAATGGTAATGCTTTATTTTACAGGTCAGTAATTTCCTAATAATGTCCTTGGAAGTTTGCTGGCATGAACTATGTAATTGAGTACTAATTACATGGGGAAGAGAGACATAACCTCTAATGTTTTGAATTAGAGTTTAGTTAGTTGAGTTTATAAACAGTTGTTGATTTACAGAAGGACAGAACATGTGATACAGAGCAACTTGCTCACTTCAGATGACCAATGATAATTGTCAATTGTCAATTGTCAATAATTTCAGGCTACTTGAGAAACGTGCATACATTGTGTCGACTAAGATTCAAAGACATGAAATCAAATGGTCTATCTTTAAACTGTATAACTTTGTTCCGGGTTATCAGTAGGATGTTATGGTGGAGAAATGGGTTTCATGTCATTCGCCTTAAAGAACAAAGGAGGGACAACAAAATCCTCTCTACTATTAATAAGCCTCTTTGGGTTTGCTTGACTGGAGCTTAAATTAGAGAATGTCTCCTTCAAGTACAACTCAACCAGGGCCATGACCTGCAGATCTGGGTCTCATTCTTTATTTACGAACTTGAATTTGTCTCTACGGTGCTCAGAGACAAATTCAATCTGAATCTGAGGGTGCTAGAGATAAAAATTCAACAGCTTTCATGAAGTGGCTCCCAAAGGGAACCATAGAGCATTATAAGCACATTATAAACCCATAAGAGTGCATAATCACTATAATCACATTATGATATCACAATTATTAACTACACAGCACTAAAATGAACGTAATGTTATTGTCATGTGATGATTATATTGCATATGCTTTATGTGGATTTGCAATATTTGTAATGAATTGCAATGCATTTGGAATCAACTCATTAAGCAAACAAAATATTGCATGTAATGTCTTAATGATTGATTACAAAGATTAATGGCCATTATTGTGTATTTTAGAAAGGTTAAATTCACATCTGTAAAGTAAAACACTTGATCTTTACTGCCTCAGTGGAGCAGTATCAAAATAAAATATGCATAGAGCTTATTAAATGTTTTTTAAATTCTACATTTACAATAGGTCTGGCAAATACAGACTGCAGCGGAATGAATATAAAGGACGCTGTGTTTACCCATGCATGCCATCTGGGTGCTGGGTAGCAACTGCCAATGAATAGCTAATCAGTTAGGTACTTTGTTGTAAATCTTGAAGAAACCTTACAAGGTAAGAGTGACAGAATGTAAATGTTGTTTATTGGTTATCAAATATATTATCATGGGCCTGTTTAATGTGCCTTCCTCTTAATTTACACATGAAGTTTACTCGTCACGAGGAGTCCTACTCTGCCTCTGCTTTTTAAAGTCTGAGAAAATAACCCTGATGATGTCGTCTCGGATTGGGCATTAACAGAAAATTTGTGTTACATGGAGTTTGAAAGAGGGTCTAATGCTGCATACATGCAATGTCAGCAGAACATGGAACAACAGGAAAACCTCCCGTTATTCTGACTTTGGGATGTTTAAACATTAATGCAGGATGGTTAGCCCCTCTGCTAGCTTTGTAATTACATAATCTAATTATCATATATTAGCTACTTATGCAGTGTTACGCATTTGAAGCAGTTTGTTAACTAGTGAAACCAAATAAAAACAAACTGCATATAACTCCTTTAAAATTAACTGAATCCATTGTATTAGTGTTAATTTTGGATTTTATTCATATTTAACTGCCAGCGGTGGTGACTTTGCAGCCATTTTGTTCCATTCACATGCATGTATTATACAAAATTTTTTAGAATGATGGGAAATTATTATGGGAAACGTAGGATCCTGTTTTTTGGCGATTGACATACAATGGACAATAAGTCAGGATATCTCGGCCTCAGCAACATCAATTTTGACAGTTCTTTTTCCATCTTTATGATACTAAATCGATGGAGTACTCCTTTAAAAAGAAAAAATGTTAACCACAGCACTAATAGAACTAACAGAAATTAGAATCAAAAGGCATATTGCACAGAAAGACATTGACTAATATAGAGTCTAAGATATCCTGTGATCATGACTCAAGTAGTAAAACGGGTCTTAAACGTGATTTAAAACTGCTTTTGAGGGTTCACCTTTTCCCTGGCAGAAGTCCAGCTGCAGGATGGTCTGGAGCAGCGAGTCAGTGTTGAGGGTGAGGTCAAACTCAGGGCCTACTTTTGGCTCCAGGGCCCCTTTTACCCACTGGTCTTGAGAGGATGTCACCCGCTTGATCAGAGCATCTGAGATCTACACACACATAGACAAGTTAAGGGGTGCAGACATGTCGAAAGGTTTGTACACAGCGAAGGATGATGAGCATAGGAAAAGACATGCAAAGTCAAACAAAGAGAGGAAATGAGAGTGTGTGCATTCAATATCTACATTAATGCGTGCAAGGCAGTGTTACCCTCCCTGCATCCAGAACAGCTTCTCTGTTCTGGGATCTGTTCCATTAGCATGGCTTCATTTCACTGTGTCTGACAAGTGAAATGAAGCATGCATTAGTGCAGTGCAAATATTTAAGGTTAAGAATTAGACCTGCCGGTAAGAGCTTCACTGCCTCAGGGCAAACATATCTAAGTGAATACATTACATTAAACTACACACAAAATGTGCTAAAATGTGTCTGAGGAAATTCATCCTTGGGCATTAAAACATAAATTGCCTAATTTAGCTTAATTCTTTCACTTCAGATTAGTTGCACTCTATTTATAAATGTTCCCTCAAATTACATTTAGATCCACCTTTGTTTTTTAAAGAGCCCCTAGTTAGGATTTAGGCATTGGCAACCATGAAGGACCACATAATCAATACATTATAAAACATTCAGATGAAATGGAAGCAAGGGGATGTGTGTGTGTTTGTCCCTCAGGAGTGTCTCTGATCTCTGTTTCATCTTTCCCTTTCACATTACTCTTTTTCTCTCTTGCTATCTCTCTCCAGGAAGAAAAATGATTCATAACCAGACACAGAGACACTTGAATATAATCTCATATAATTCAATAGAAATGGAGCCGTAACTAAGGGGTTGGAGAAGCTTAAGACCATGTGTTCTTGACATGCTTGCTGTCAGGAGGAAATATTCTTTTTCTTTTAACCATCCATCCATCCATCGTCAACTACTTATCCTGTGTACAGGGTTGCAGAGGCCTGGAGCCTATCCCAGCTGACATCGGGCAAAAGACAGGGTACACCCTGGACAGGGCCATTTTAACCCTTGTGTTTATTTGATACTGGCTGTTTGGGGTCCCCTCTTCACTTCCTTATAACCTCAAAACAATATGTGGGTAAGTACTGAAGAGGTTAACCTGATGCCACAAACTCGGCTTGCACATTTGAAGAAGGTGACAAAAATTGGAGATGACCACACATAAACACAGTTATCACACAAAATACAGAAATATTTAATACTGTATTATATTATTAATATTGAGTTTTATGAGCTATGCATATGCAAATGCATTTACAAATATACTGTATAATCCTTTTGTTTGCTAAACAGTAATCCAAAGACAAAGAAATGTATGGTATGTTATCATACATGGTCATGTTACTTATGTTTGGGTAAAATAGACCCAACAGAGGTTTAAAACTCCAACATACTTATTTGGGATTTGGAGGGGAACTGCAGCATTAAAGGTCTGGTTCACACTGATCACAAATACAAAACATATAAAAATCTACTTTATTTGTTAATGAGACCGCAAATAGAAGTAATGTAATTTTTGTGTTTCTTAAGAATTTAAAGAGAAACAGACCATTAGGGTTAAACAGACTCTTTCTTTGTGGCTCTTTCTTATAAGCAGGTGCACATGTCCCATTCGACCTTTCTCAGTTTGACCCAACATGCACGGATCAATAACTACTGATCAGCTATTGAGCATCTGAGCCTGCTGATAACTAAACATGTCAGGTCAATAACAAATAGGCCAGCTGCAGTTTAAGTCAAGCAAAGCCGATACACCCTGTGTTGGTCTGTGTGTTGTGTCCTCCTCTGACTGTGCAGTGTTTTAAGTCGTAATGTAAGGAGTTGTAAAAGAGAAGACTGGTGCTTGTTTATCTTTTTCATGATGATCAAAAAGTTCCCTCAAGAGACTAAAACCAGGAATACCGTTCATTTTGTCACAGTTTGATTTCGCTTATGCCTCTGTTTCACTGAAGTCGGCTGGGGCTACATAGTATTACTCACTAGTAGGATATATTATTTGTTGGTTTTAGTATTTTCAGTTACTAGCTGTTAGTAATAAATAGATAAACAATCCCAACCTCATTCTTTAATCCCCTTTAATTAAAATGTTTAAACTGAGGCATTACATGGTGAGAAAATCATACTAAAGTCTTGTATTACACAAACTATTTAACCCATTTGCCTATCTGATAAAAGCATTGACAAAAAGCTCGACTGTTTTTTCAGCTTGTAAAAAGCTGGCAGTTTGGAGTTAAATGTTTTTCACAGGATAGTAAAGTTTTGCTCAAATGACTGATAAGGCTGTATCCAGTTGCTATGTGAAGACCTAAATTAGGAGACATGCAGATGCCATGAAGGACGTTTCACACTCATATAATCTCAAACACACAAACACACAGTGGGTCAGATACCTGGAGGAATCCACTGGGATCGTTCTCTTTGAGGACTTCCAGGCAGTACTCCATCATGCCGGTGGTCTGACGTAGCTTCATGGTGCAGTGGGTGATCTGGTCACGCACCACCTGACATAGACACCCAGAGAAATTAGCAAAGCCTCTTTAATGTTTCCAATGCTTTTATACCTCAAAAAGACAATTGTTAGACCATGAACACCTAATGTGACAGTTTTCTTCATGTTGAACTTAAATGCAGAGCAAGTAAAGGACTTGTAGAGTTTGTGGCTTGTTTGAGTATAAAATTTCACAATATTTCATAACTTTAGAGAATTAATGAATTTCCTGCATATAACGGCCCAGTAGGACTGGACCCAAAGGCAAGTTTACATGTTTTATGAGGGAGCTAGATGTCTGCTCTGTGAGGGACATAAACAAAATTAACGCGCGTGCCAACAGTATCATAAATAACATCGACACATGAAAATATTTTTCACACAGCTTGTCTGAAAGCTTAATCCAATAGAAAAGGTTCTGTAGTGTCTTTGCAAACAAAGATGTTTGTATTAAATTAAAGTTTATCACAGCCTTGCTACCACCAGCTGCTGTTTGATTATCAACTGATTTAAGATCATACCGACCACCTCCTAAGTTGCCACATTTAAGCAGCATTCCCCAACCTCGCCAATAAAAACGCTAAAAAACAGCCAAACAAACACGACCAAATGAAGTGCAGCCAACAAAAGTTGCTGTTCAAAAGGCCGGTAGAGGTAAAATTTAAAAAACTTAGTGATAGTAATAGATGATTTGGCATGGTGTAGGTGAAAATGTGTTAATATGTGACACACATGCATTCAAGGAAAAGGAAAAGGAAAAGGAAAAGGAAAAGGAAAAGGAAAAGGAAAAGGAAAAGGAGCTTGCACTGGCAGCTATTCTTTACTGCACCACATTTCAAGCTTGCCGCTCTTCTTCAGGCAGCATTATGTTACATATGCTAGGAGTGTAATTAGGGAATGGGGATCAGGTGTGCGGATTGGTGTGGATCAGGTGATTGGTAACTGACTGGAACAACAGGTGAGTTAGTGGCTGGCAAGAAAAAAGGTGCAAAAATTAAAAACTGGCTGACGGGGCATGACTTTATAATCCCATAGTATTCCCGGTACACTATCCCTAGTAACCCGGTTTCAACATGTGATCAGATCAAGGTGAGGTAAGTATTTTACAGAAACTCGTTATCAGCCTTCACCAGACAAAGGTGACTTGTCTAGCTCTTTGAATGTCTCTCTCCTTTTTGTCTCACACACACTCAAACGCACAGACATCACATGCTATCTGCTGGCTGACCTATGAGCAGGAGGGAAATGAGGTTTGGACGGGTGTCACAGCAAGTCGTTCGAAGCTAATTGAAACTAAGTGAACTGTCACCGCCTGATTAGCCGTTTGTTTACATTTCATAATACCTGCACTACATTTTAGCTGATCAGTAATGTTTAATTATCTGCTTAAAGTACAACTGATACATGTATATAATATGTACGACCTGTACTTATGTTTACGTGACAAATACAAAGGTGAAGCAAGAGATTGGACAGAAAAAGTCTTGTGATGTTGGTGAATCCAAGATAATTACACCGTAAACCAACGGCTGCCTAAATGAATTAGAGACTTAATTAGAGTGAGTTTTGGTAATTAGCCCCCTCGTTTATTTGATGCTTAATGAGATCACAGTTAATTATTCACCTGTCAACTGCAGTATAAACTGAAATATGAAGAGCATGAAAAGTTAGCAGAAAGAGGATCAAAACAACCTACAATTTGAGTCTAAGAAGATTATGGAGTAGGTGTGGTGTGGGCAGGTATTACTAATTTTGTGGGACATGATTCTGTTAACATCAGTCACACTGTGGGGACTCGCCTTCCTTCTGGGGTCAAAATGCAAATCCCCACAACATAAATGATTACATTTTAGGTTAAGGTTAGGGGGTTAGGGAAGCTCTCCAGGGAATTAATGTAAATGTAATGTCCCCAAAAGAGATGGAAACTTGACTGTGTGTGTATGTGCTGGGTCAAAGGTCATCACTGATATGCTGAAGCCAACAGAACAAATATCAGATGAAAACTGGTAAAATACATACATACATATACCCTAAATACATTCTGATGCCTGACCTTTTTTAACAGTATAAGTTTGATTTATTTTTATCCTTTTTATTTCACAACTTCTTTTATTGTGTCTGTATTTTATGTATTTTTTACTGTGAAGCCTGATCTAGAAAGGTGCTATATAATACATCTTACTTGCTTACTATATCTTCATAAATTCATTTATTTAATGTATTAGCAATGTATTTGTCTTTATTTGATTTTTGTCTTGTTAATGGCTTACAAATCCAACAAAGGAAAAGGTTTGTTTTAGAGAGTGTGTCTTGGGTTTTGTACAAGTATTTATGATAAGGAGGGATAAAGAATGAATCACAGGTCAATGAAAGGTCAATAAAGGGAAACATTTTTAAAGGTTTAAATATTTTTATAGCTATATGTAACCATAAAGCCATCGTGCAGCTGGAATTCACCTATGGCAAAATACACACACAGACATTCAACTTTTTTACAAAGAGAAAATTAGCTTTTAAATTCAGGTTGACAAAAGTCAGCTCTATCTTCTGTGTAAACAACATTAAACTATGAAGCGTGAAGCCTGAGTAAATCTCAGATTTATTTCAATTTCCTTCTGTCCCGCTGAGACCAGCCATCAGCTCCTGCAGGCCTGGTTCAGGGGCTTATTCAATATGTTCCACATGCAATGCATATTAAATGAATCTGAGGGTGAAAATACTGAAACATGTTAATGCAAGCCCAGATTTCAGATACATGCTGCAAGCTTTACTCACACTCTGAACCACATTTCAATTCAGGTTAGAGCAATATTTTGGATGAATTTGTCCATTTTTGGAGTGCAGTGGAGTCTTTATGTTGGCATGATGTAGTGTGTTTTATACAGTAGTAAGTGGGGTAGAAAAGAAATGACAAAATATTTATAAAACATGCAGGAGTTTGGTAGGATGTATACAGGAACATTAGATGCTTGTGACTGGGCTTTCTTTTTGTGTTATATTTATATGCAATATTTGTGTTTCAGATGTCTGTAAATAAAGTGTTAAAGGTAACAGCTTGTTTTCCACAAATTTAAAGATACCAATCAGCAGTACAAATTGTGCAGGTTTGATGTAAAAATAAAAATGACACTGTTGGCTTCTGACTTTAATATCCAAGATCTGATGAACCGTAATCTTATTCACAGAAGGACACACAGTCATTCAGTCATCTGTGTATTCACTTCTCTCTATCAACTGCTGGATTAAAGCTGAAGTATCTGTGTTTCTGTGTGTGCCCTCTTGAACATGAATCTTTGTGAGCACAAAGTTGCAGACCTTGTTGGTATATTTTTGAAAAGTGAGGAAATTTGGTGGAAATTAGGAGTTTTTAATTGTTCTTCACATTGGGTTGAAACTTTGCTCTATAGTTAGGGTTTGAGTTAGATTCAGCAGGTAAGGATTGGTGTTGAGCATGTGATGGTTGTAGCTACTGTTTCTCCCTACTGGCTAGTAAGACTGCTCCACCAAATTAGCTTTGCACTCCTGTAACATTGTCAGATTAACGATGGACAGTTTCTTGAAGCAGAACCAGAGATACTGTATTATTTATCCCATGATTCTTCCTTGTCAAAACCCGCCACCTACATTTCCCTCCATTCAACTCGACCATCACAGTTCGGTAGGAGATTCGGGTGTGTTGTGCTAGTAGCAGCTAATGTAGCCTCAAGCTGCTAGCCTCAAACAGAGCTCACTTCTTTCTTGTTTATTATTTTTATTTTTAAACTTGTAGTCTTCAGCACCAGCCGACATCATTTAAGGCAATAGTCAGATTTCACACAGCTCCCTCTGGAGAAACAATTGTCTTCTATACAACTCTAGTCTAACTTAAGCAACAATAATGGAAACAATTATATTAAAAAATCACTGTGACACTGCCATCAAAAATATTTACTGTAAATACTGTACTTACACAATTATACAAAATTACACAATTTATTACCAAATTTGCTATATAACTGTAATTTTAGTACTGATCCATATATAAACAGCCACACACACCACTTGCACAGTTAAATACAACAAGTAGGCCTATATCTGGCTGTTCTTTGAAAGAGGAAGCCAAAATATGTTGCTTTTAAGGGATTACGCTCTGGCTTTGGTGATATGTTTTTTTTTTATAGACATCTGCCTTTCTTTTTTTTTTGGCTTCGTGTCTGGCCACAGCTGTATCTATAAAACAGATTAAAAGTCTTTTAAGTGCTTTTGACAAAAAGGAAATAGCAGAAGAAGGTTACAGTCAGGACATATGAACATCCACTGAGATCATCTTTAAAACCCTGATCCTTCCTCTGGCACTCTTAAATAAAAAAAGTTATGCTTTTCATCCAATAACGACCAGTCTGTCATTCCCATAACTCAAAGAAGTTTTTTCTGTGTTGTGGGTTTAGTGTGAAAACTGCAACTATGTGAAGAGTCCTGGTAAAATTAAATTTGCACAATATGACATCTACTTTTCAGCCAAAAAATAGAGAAGGCTAAAAACAAGAAGAATTGTGTCTCGTGCATGAGCTTCAATAACCAGGTCTTGAGAGGGGCGTGCATGCCTGTATATCACTGCATCTTGATTACTGTAATTCATTGCATTCAGGGTTAGGCCAAAAAACAATCCAGAGCTTTCAGTTAGTACGAAACACGTCTGCTTGGCTGTGGTGAACTGTTTAGGTCAGTTTTAGAATTTATTTTAAGATTTTACATTTAAAGCACTGGCTGCTTAGTTATATTGCTGAATTGCTGCTCTCCTACGAGCCAGAGCACAGCCTCAGTCAGGGCTCTTCTGGCTGCTCCCCTCCCCTCAACTCTGGAACTCCCTACCTGAAGATCTGAAATTTTTCAGAATCGGCAATATCTTTTAAATCACTTCTTAACAATTACAATTTTTAGCATTAGCATTTTTTAATAGTAACAAAGTTTTGTGTTTTATTTTTATTTTTTCTTACTGTTTCTTATCTTGTTTGTGGATAGATACTTGCCAGATTTCATTTAATTGTGTTTCTGATTTAATGTAAAGCACTTTGTAACATAAATACACACATAAATAAAGTGTGGTGTTGTTATTGTTGTTATTATTTTCACTACATCAATACTTTACCTTCTTGTTTTGTATATTCTGGTGTGTTTTTTTATTTATCAATAACTTTGTCTCTCAATTCTTTAATTTCTTCTTTTTTTTAATTCATATTGAACGTCAGATGCCTGATACAAAAGATTTACGCATCAGCTGCTTTATGTACCACACAAATTTTTGTTTTGAGCCGTAAGCATTTAAGCCATTGCTTGTCTGTTTTATTTTGTCCCTACATGAATAAGAGCCTGTGATTTTATCAGTTAGAGATAAACAGTGTCCTGATTATTTATTCATGTAAAAATGTGTTTTAGTTTATCACCATCTAAAAGCAGTTATTCTTCTCTTGTTCCAGCTACGTCGCAGCCTCCAGCTCTTTGGCCTCTGGCTGAATCTCAATCCCCGGCCTGCAGATAATGACAACAGCTGTCCTTGGGGCTTCCATCCAAACACCCCTCCCCCCTCCCCCGCCACCAGCCAGACGGTCAGTCGGTCGGTGGGCACGTTGAGGCTGGGCAGGCGTCCATGTGATTCACTAGGACTTAGGAAAACCCCATCGGTGGAATTACCAAGGAAAGTTAAAAAAGAAGCTTGACTGCTAAAATAGAAATCTCTGGTTTAAGAGCCGAGACTTTTTCATTTATTAAAAGTGCTGAAAACATAGTCTTCTAATCTGGTTCTTACTTTAAGCACTGAACTCACTCATAACTGGTTATTTCACAAGAGAGATTTTATGTTCCCTGTGCCTCTGTCTCACTAATTTAATTTAGAGTAATTTGAAAGTTGATTTGTTAGAGTTATTAATATACTGTATAACTAAGGATAATTCTTTCTAACTTGATTATTGCTTATTTTAACTGTTTACATTTAATGTTGAAGGGAAAAGCAAGTTTCCAGAAGCTTTACAAAACCACTACATAGATTTTTTTTGAGAACCATAACACATTTCTATGATAGATTAACAGCCTTTTATTGACCTGATTATTCTTTGAAAAGTTTCATGGTTAATTTTTTTTATCTACTAATGATTATGCTGACATACTGATATATACATGAATGATTTGTGGTTGGTGAGAGCAGATAGACTGGTAAATAAAGCAGACAGACGGACCAAAAGACATGCAGCCGGATTTCAATACCATTTCTTACAATCTAAATAACCGCAAATCTGCTGCTCGCTTTAGGCAGGAAAGGAACTGATAAAGAGACAGTTGTTTATTAATGCCTTTGTACATATTAAAAAGTTCCCCTTAAAGTATTTCAAAGCAATCACCTAGAAATGTCACATGCTAGTGGTGTTTATTAGAAAGCCAGCAAGTTAATAACTGATTAGGTTGAGCAGACATGCAGCTAAACACTGACAAGAGATCAGTTAATCCACCTTCAGCTTGTACTCCTTCTCCTTGGTGACTTTGGTGAGCAGTTTGGCTTTCTGTCTGGTGAGCGCCTCGATCAAAGAGTCACACTGCGCCACGAGGCAAGCTTCAAACTCCACACCGTTCTCCTGAAGCAACACACAGACACATGATCAGAAGGGCAAAATAATCATTGTAAACTTGAAAAGAAAAGTAAACATATGTAACAACCATATTTTATGGGACATATAAATCTGCTTTAAGCCATTCCAAAGTAATTCTCATTATGGGCAAAATCAACACTGTCACTAAAATAGATCTGTTGGTGTGTTTTGCCTTGTGTTTGCTTGTTAATTTACCAACCAGATCTTGTACTATTTTTGTTTCCACCACACAAACAATAATATAAGCGTTAATTATTTCAACAGACTACAGACAAAAATGAATCATATAGCATTTTCATCTGTTTGTACAACGGCCATGCTCCCTCAAGAGACACATACATATTATACATTCTAAAAATACAGTATACATAAAGCACATGGCCAGATGTATGTGGACACCCAAATTACCCACATGTGATTGTTGAAATGGTCATTTCTACACCATGCACATTACAGTAATATGGCTCTTCACCAGCCTCCACTCCTCTGGGATGGTTTTCCACAAGCTTTTACAATCTGGCTGCAGGGACTTTTCAGTGGTTTGTTGTTGATTGGAGAATCTGGGCTTTTATGCTATGGACTTGCACTAATGGCGTTTGTTTTTTTTGGAACACTTATCAATTTTAAGAACAATCCCAATTCACAAAGAATTCTATGAGGATGTTTCATTAATCATGAATTCTCTTTTGTCTCTGACATTTTGACTCGGTGTGTTTCAGCACACAGAAGCCTGGGGTGGATGGATGGGTCAAAAGAACTTTTGACTTTAAAACAGGAGTTTGCTCTTGTGTTTCCCGTTTAAAGCGGACGGTCAACTTTGTTCCCTGACCTTAACCAAATGTAAATTGCAGTCATCATGGTGACAAAGGTCTCCTATCCTTAATAAAGTAGTCATTTTAAGCCAAACCACCAAGTTTACCTAAACATGACCAAGTCATTTTTGTGCCTGAACCTAATCAAACCTTAACCACAAAAGGATCAGATCAGAAAACACATTTATTTATTATCTATTCAACAGTACTTTGAAACAGTATTGGAAGGCACAGACCAATAATGTCGTTCTGCCGACAGTAGGCGTAAGTTGTCATTTAATTTGGAGGACTTGTTGGTACTGTAGGTCTGCGCGCATTAGTTACAGTGGTTGGGATTTAATGAGAGACGGATCCACAGGAGCATTTTATCTGAGCATAAAACATGATGTGGAGATGAGGTTTTGTGTGTGTCCTCCGCTGAGTTGCACAGTTCAGATCTATAAGAGGGTGAGTGCTGGAGATCTTTTTCTCCCTTCCACAGTTCTTTTTTTTTCTTTATCCATCCGTCTCTCTCGCGGCTCTCTGGCTCACAGAGCAAAGTGGTGAAAAATTGTTTTATTTATTTAAATGCAATCTTCATCATTTTGCAGTAAGACTCTTAATGTTGGCTCGTAGTGCTGTGACTGACAAGATATGACAGTGCAGGCAGTTTGTGTGTGTGCATAACTGGCAGATGCTTTGGGAGAGATCAGCTGCACAGCAATGCTGTCCACAGGCAAAACTCACACACGCCACACAAATATATACGCACATGCCACAAATTCGGCTGATTTGGTTTGTTTTAGTTTAGTGATTCAGTGGATTTACCTCCCTACTGCACAGTGTGAGGAGTTCAAATGTGTTTCTGTGACTTTATTTGGAGCTTATTGCCCATTACCGGCAGGTTCCCCAAAGCAAAACATCAGTGGTGGTGTAATGTGTAAAGACCTCTACATGTGGAGGTAACTGATCAGACATGGACATCGGTTCAGGTACAATCTTGCACCACCAGACCTTCGTCCTGTCAAGCTTATGGAGATCCAGACAAAATATTGAGACCATAGAAATCCTGAGGCATTGATGTGATTGGCTGCGAGTTTTCAAACCACTTTCAGAAATGGCACCTCTGGTCTGAGGAAAATCAAGAGGTGTGTCCCAATTCCACCAGCTAAACATCAGCAAACTGTGTGCTGTGACCAGGACCTCTTATGTTCTGCATTTTGGGGCAATAGTTATAGTTTTTTTTAGCATTATTACACCACATACACCATGAGCCTGACAAAACAGAGGTCTGCCAAAGAAAGATTATTGGTAGTGTAATGAAAGAGCACTCCCTCCATCACTTTGTAGCTGTATTTCGTTCTGGTCTAATGAGACTAATGTTATTCTGCCTCTTCTATTGTGAATTCCTCCCAGTACACACAGGGTTTATCACTGATGATGTGTGTATATTGACGTCACACAACATGTTCTAATGGACAGTTGTACAGAAATCTGCAGAGAAATGTATGAACAGTATTTTTTTACACAGAATTTAGTGCACATGTGTTATACAGTGGTGTTATACCTGTATCTGCTGAAGCATGTTCTTGAGTTGAACCAGGAACTCTTTGGCATCTTTAGCTTTGTCTGAGACACCATTCAAGGCCTGGGAGATCTGGCACTGCAGAGACACAGAAAGAAAAAAGAAACTTAACAAATAAAATGGCAATTTTACTTAAGTCATCATAAACACTTTGTCGATTATTATATTTATTTTTTAATAACAACAAAAAAGAAAAATATTATTTTTTAGTGACATGAAATCTGCTTCAATCAGCCAGATGATTGTCCCAGATTTAACACTAAAAGCTCAAGACATTTTTCAACACCTCATTTAGTAAAGTAAAACATCTTCTTTCCTAAAATCCATGGGAATCTTTGCCCCAGACATGATACTAGTGCCTCCATTTTTCTTGACCTGAGGATAGAAAGTGTATGTAGAGAAGAAGAAAAGGAAACCACGATATGAAATCAAATGATTCTATCGTGCCTAGTTGTTGTTGCTGACATCACCTCTAAACAATACAATCTATTTATCAGTGGACATTAAATAGCTATTTCTGTTAACACGGCATTGATAAGACTGAACCGACTCCCCTCCTTCTAGGGCAAACTGTGCAACCAGCACAACCAGTGACTGACTGAGACTTTGAAGACATCAGTTATGTAATCATTTAACCCAACAGACAATTCTCCCTGGATGCTCAGATTACGACTGATCCTAGCCCCGAAAAAGCCAGAGAATCTGCATTGTTTTACTACTAGGGATTAACTTTATAATCTAGATTAGATTAACATCTAGATTAGAGTCTAAAAAATCCAGTTTTTCACTGTCACTTGTTACTCTGTCTTTATAGCGGCAGTAACACTTTGAAACTAAAACAAATAAGGCAGAATTAAACAAACAAAAGAAAAACATTTGTTTCTGTTATCAGCAAGTGCTCAGATGTTAGTATTGAGACTACCATTGATGACACCACCTTGTATTGTCTCTATTTATTCATAAATTAATCTATTGCCTCCTAAATGTAGCACATCCCCCAATGTTTTACCAAATTTCCATAGAATAGTCATAGGGGACGTTTATTTGTAATGCAAAATATTCTCTATATCACAATCAACAGCTGTTCATATCTTCTGTCTGCTACTGATTTGAAGTTAGTTTGATGACCAACGTTTAATTTAGTTGACTGTATAATTTTGTTGGTTACCACTTAATTTACAGATATAAAATGAATGCAGTGTGCAAGACATGGGGTGGGTGTTTCTCTGCGGGTTTTGGATCCCTTTATTAACTAGGACCCCTCGAAAAGTGAAGAATAAAAATTTGAAAATATTTTCTATTTCTCTATACTGTTTCTGTAAGATAATTGGCAGCACAGAAAATGTATATATCTTGTCTTCTCTTATATATACCTATGAGCATATCTTGATCGTTCTGCTGCTGTAGCTTGTAAAATACTGGTGTTATCAATTATACTGCAGCTGTGTAAACTATAAACAAGTTAATTAATATGTTTAACCTCTGCAGTCCTGGTCCTTCGCATATTTTAAATGTAAAACATGCAACAGCAAACATGAAATGCTTCAAATGCATATGTGAATGTTAGCCATGGCTAGGGAATGTATTATGTCAATAAAGAGTCCCCACAAAGATAGTGACACAAGGGTGTGTGTGTGTGTGTGTGTGTTCAGAGAAAGAGGAGCAGGTGGGAAATGTGGGTGTGGCGACCATGGAGCAGATTCATCACAGCTTGGCATGCGTGTCACAGTGTTCGTTTCCTTTGTCCTGTCTTTTCTTATTTATCAGTGACTAATGCTCACACACACGCGCGTGCGCACACGTGCACAGGAACACATAAAGAGCCAAAAGGCAATATAAAGTAGGTAGACCTCCATTTGTGTTACTAGAAATAAAACATACATTGATAACAGCTGTATTTGTGAATTGATTATTTTCCTTACGGATGCCTAACCTTAACTTAATGTACTTTTATTATCACTTTACATTAAGTGATGTAAAGTGATATAAAAGGATCAACACAAGCACAAGTCCTCTGTCTTAAAGCTGTAAGAAAGTACTTAAAAAGAAAACAAAAGGTAAAAATCACTTAGTATTTATTTATTAATCAGTTATTAATGCATGTTCATTGTTTAGTAGGAATTAATATAATGTACCAATCTCTTTTATATTGTTTGTATAAGGCCTTTAAGCTTCCTTCCTTCTTTGCACACGTCCATTGAGCTCTATTATGGTATGTTTTGAACACCATATTTTTACTTGTAAGAAATAAAGACTGAATACTAAATTATCTCACATGTCAGTCAAGCAAATATTTGATTTTATGTCAGATTATGAATATTTAGAAAACTGCAATTAGTGTTCTTTCTTTCCTGTCACTATTCCCTTGGTTATATTTGAGTAAGTAAATCTCCCACACAGTCAATGCACTGTAATCCACTCTCTCCACCTCTACCACAATAACCCTTCCACCCCCACCACACACGCACACAAGTCAGACGGCTTGCTGTGATGGCCATCCCTCTTCAGGAGGAGGGACGTGTGGAGGTCATGGTTCACGAATCAACCCAATCCTTCTGTGGAGCTTCTCACTGCTCCTCACCAAGAGGCCATCTGGCCCAGCAAGCTGTCTGGCCTGTGTGTGTGTGTGTGTGCGCGTGCGTTTGCATGCCAAGATGCTAACAAGGGGATGACGGATGTGCCATACGAGGGCTGCCCTGGCACATCCCCTCCTCTGTTATTTGTACTGTCTGGTGCTTCATTCATTTAACTGCAACACTGCTCACCGGGTTAAAGTTCTGAGCTACATACATCCACCTGCCTGTCTGCTCCTTTGTGTACTATAGTAGACCTCTTTTATTCATTAATTGATTTTCTTGACCCACTAGTTGTTTATCAGAGTGGTGGAGGGCTGAAGTCTATCCCAGCATGCATGCAGGCTCTAAGGGGAAGTCTAATTGACATTAAAGCAACTTTTCAAAGAGAGACCTGCCCAAAAAGGCAGCATTAAACACTGTTACAACAAACAATACAAACAGAAACAGAATAAGACATCTGTCATACACCACAACATAGCGTACATAAACCTCAGTTAAGCTGCATTATTTACATTTTCTACAGTACTTTCAAATTATGTTTATATACTACTAATTAAGGTTAGGCAAACATCATGGTTTTGATGTAATAGAGAAAATGTCTGCAGTGACTTGAAGCACAAGACATGATGAGTTTACATTACTAGTCTGGATGCAAACAGCCACTGATTTCAAAGTCCTGCTCTTTGTTGCCCACCATCAACCCAAACAACCTCCTACGTCTTATGGGTAGTACTTCATCCATGCAAAAAAAATAACATTGACCTACTGTTAAGTACTCTACACTTGAATATGCCCGCTTAGCATTACTTTGTATTTATTCAACCTAAAGCCGTGTCTTCCAGCAGATGGACAGACTGCCCTGATGCTAAAACATGTCTTCACCAAGACACCCTACTCTCTACTCATGTGCTCTAATTAATTAGCTGTAATTGAGCAGCTGTTAAAATAGATTACTGCACTGATCACAATGCTGTAGACAGATTGAAGCTTTTTATTTGTTTATTTGTTAACTCTAAAGAGGACAAGTCTCTATCATCTGACAGCTGTTCAGTTTTCCTTAACCCAAAAACAATGCTATGAAATTACCTCTTTTATTAACTAATGGCTTGTTGTTATTGCCTTAGTTTTTTTCAGTGTTAACTCAGACTAACGGGTCATGTAGCAAAATTCAACATAACTTGTTTTGGATTGCATGCTATTTACTTTTATTAAAATAAAAATAGCCTTAACTGATATAAAATGCTCCCAAAACAAGAAAAAAATGCAAATACCTTTTGTAAAAATCAATATTGAGATGTGTTAAAATACCATTTCATAAGGCACCTCTTCATACCAAGCCTGACTACACTGTCACCACAATATCCAGGTCTAAATTTGGCCATACCCCAGAAAAACTATGTATAACAGTGGCGAAATGTGACAAGTCTGCCCTGCAGGAAGAGGACCAGTGAACCACTGAAGAGATTTGGAACCAAAGAGAAACACAGAAACATGAGAAAATCATGTAGAGGATAAGGAAAGTGAAAGTGAAAAAGAAATATAGATGATAAGCAATAGAAATATTCATTTGGCCGAGGATCAACGCACCTGCAGAGCAGAACTGTACATTTAATAATCAAATTTTTTCCCTCCTTTGTTTCCTTTGTTCTCTTCCCCTTAACCTTTTTCATCCTTTATTGCTCCTCCAAATAGGAGTGTCATTTTTCTTTCTCCTGCTGTCAGCAACCTTCAGCACTCCTCTCAGAGACAAGTGTTATTATCTCATTATCTTATTATAGGAGCAATGAAGGGCCATTTATTCAGTCTGTGACATTCAGAGAGACCAGTGGTATTCATGGGGGCTCAGTGTTGGTTTACTAATATGTTTCAGCTCAAGAAATAGCAGGATGCAGGGAAGGAAACAGTGAAACTGATTTTAAAGGAGAATTGCTTATGGTGCTGAAACGGCAGCTAACTGGAGAGCAAGATGAGCCTTTCAACTTCCATAGAGTGTGACTTTCCAACCCTGCATCTGTCAGTGTAGATATGTTCCCTTACAACAGACTCAGTGTAACAATGTGGAATTATTGCTCTTATTATTGCTATTATTATTAAACGGCGATTGCCGACATGAAACAACTGCTGAAAGAAGCTTTAATGTTAAGTATTAAGGCGGAGAGTGATGATAAATCTTCAATCCAACGTAAATGCCCACACTCAGCACCGAAAAAGGATGCAATGTCACAAGTGTGAAGAGGATACTAAATCAAATATTCAGCAGAGTGATTACACACTGTAAATAATAAACTGTCTATGAGAGCGATGTCTGGCAATGTAGACTACAACACACCACTATAATACTACTACTGTAAACATGTTTACCAAATACTTTGTGGAGGAAATCTAGTTTATGCCTGGTTTCTGATGGCTGGCATGTTTTTTCCAGTCCATGAAGTGTAACATTCTTCTACCACACAATTTGAAGTAGGGAGGTCGGGGTGAATGAAGGGCAGAATCTAGTAG